AAGCTACAACATTAGCCATGAAACAGAATATCTTTAAGCTGTGTGAAAATATTTTAAGAAATATAGAATTAGCACAAAATGTGAACAGAACAGAGTAAGTGTATAGGTCTATAGGAACATTAGAGTATGGTCTATTAAATAAATTAAGGCTACACTGAAGAACAGACAGTCTGCGCTAACAGCCATGTGGAAGGTATTACCTACCTTCTTGCTGGCGGGCACTAACAGAGCACTAAGAGCACCTAAATGCAGTTTACAACACACAACACATTGTTTGGAATACTTCACTAACGGTAACATGATAAATGTACGTGGTACCCTCAAGAGTATTAACTTGGGAAAAAAGAGTATTAACCTGGTCTCACAGTAAGTAGGTAAGAGACCAGCAGCTCTAGGTTACATCTTCAGTGAGTAGTGGCTCCCAGAAGAAATACTGCAAGAAACAGGAAGACTTCTGACAACAGTAGAACTGGGATTTGATGAAAAGATCCTATTTTGATGGGATTTCTCTTATATTTATAACCTATCATTTATTTTATACTGTATAAAGAGACATCTTTACTTCAAAGAATTTTTATTGAAACAAAGAAAGCATAGCAATGAGAGAACAACTAAAAGGTTTAAATTAAACATTAAGAAAAATTGTTTTGTTTACTGCTCCCACTGAACAGCTAAAGTTAAGAAAAGAAACTAGCTTTGTTGTTGTTCAGTCGCTCAGTCACGTCCAACTCTTTGAGACCCCATGGACTGCAGCATGCCAGGCTTTCCTGTCCTTCACTATCTCCTGGAGCTTGCTCAAACTCATGTCCATCGAGTCAGTGATGCCATCCAACCATCTCGTCCTCTGTTGTCCCCTTTTCCTCCTGTCTTCTCTCTCTCCCAGCATCAAGGTCTTCTCCAATGAGTCAGTCCTTGACATGAGGTAGTAAAAGTATTGGAGCTTCAGCTTCAGCATCAGTCCTTCCAATGAATATTCAGGACTGACCTCCTTTAGGATGGACTGGTTGGATCTCCGTGAAGTTCAGGGGACTCTCAAGAGTCTTCTCCAACACCACAGTTCAAAACTGTCAATTCTTCAGCGTTCAGCCTTCAGCCTTCTTTATGGTTCAGCTCTCACATCCATAACATGACCACTGGAAAAACCATAGCTTTGACTAGATGAACCTTTGTTGGCAAAGCAATGTCTCTGCTTTTTAATATGCTGTCTAGGTTGGTCATAGCTCTTCTTCCAAGGAGCAAGCGTCTTTTAATTTCATGGCTGCAGTCACCATCCACAGTGATTTTAGAGCCCAAGAAAATAAAATCTGTCACTGTTTCCATTTTCTCCCCCTCTATTTGCCCTGAAGTGATGGGACCAGAAGAAACTAGCTAAGAATTATTAAAAACTAAAGCATGAGAAAATCTTTCCTATTCTAAAGATAAATAGTTTAATTCTTAAATGACTAAAAATATTCAATCATAAAATTAAAGGCATCTTCATTCCTCAGGTTAGTCATCTAACATTTTAGCTTACAGTCTATGAGCAAAGAAATTAAACCAATTCTGCACACTGCTTTAAATTACTACAATGGTTATAAGTAAGTAAAAAGATAAATCAATGAGAAACAGAGTAAGTGACGCAACGGAAAAGCTAAGTTTTCAACCAAATTCCCTTGTTTGACAAATAATGTTCAAAACCTGTTACAAGTCAGGTACCATTTTAGGAACCATGAACATAAAAGTTATACAAGCTTACCTCTGTGAGGGTTACAGTCTAGTATAGGCAACTCTCACTAGATCAAATGGATGGAGGGAGGGAGGCATGGACAAATGGACAGATGCTAAGTAGTGACAAGTTCTATAAAGAAAACTAATGCAGAATAGGGAAAAGAACTTCAAATCTCAGGAGAACTGAAAAGGGATGAGAGATAACTTAGAACGAGTAAAGAGTAAACCCACTTTATCACTGACAAAGTTCTTCTCGAAAAGACAAAACAGCAGTAGAACACTGGATAATTGCTGAGAATTGTGAAGGCATGGAGCTGGAAGAACATGAATGTTCTGTTTATTCATTATTATTTCAAAGAGGGAAATTCTGTGAGGTAGTTTTTAAGACAAAAGAAAAGCTGAGGGTATATCTTACATGTTCAGTTATATTAGATTCATCTCCTTAGATTTTTGACTCTGGAGATAAGGTGCTACAAATACTGCCTACAGAAGTTTACTCCGGTATCTACACACGGATTAAATTAGAAAGGCAAGAAAGGTTCCAATCTGGGTCAAGGATTATAGACTGCAAAAAGGGAGCGGCTAAGAAAAGCAGAGGAATGACTAGCAGGACACTGTCACAAGATATATGGAAAAGACGGGAAAGGAATTAAAAGCAACATTATAAAATTTAAGATTCTGACTTTCAACTGGTTCAAAAAACTCTGTAAAGGAGAAGTCCAAAGCCTCTCTGAACCACTTCACTGCCACCCAATCTTCTTTTCCTCGTCACCAATTTGCCTTCTTCATTTGCTTGTCTCAACCAGTAATATTTAAAATTAACTACTGACTTCAAATTTGATTTCTCAACTAGAAGCTTGTTCCCTAATGTTCTCATTTTCTTCGGGCAGAAAGTAACTAGAAAAAGGCAGTTCTATCACTATGTCATTTATATACTTGGAAATTCTTACACTGTTTTGGTGTTTTAGTGACAGTTAACATGGATTTCAAAAGGAAACAAGATACAAAATCTGTGTTAAGAACTGATGCCAGGGGGCTAGCAATTTTTTTTTTTAAGGTAGATTCTTTTTTAAACTATATTAAAAACAAACACACAAAAAACCCTCATGTAAAATGTTTCAAGGTTAAAAGTATTATCCAAAATTGCATAGGACGCTCTTGACAACTACAGCAGTTATATCTTAAATATATAAGTACAGTTTAAAATCCAACAGGAAACCCAGAGTGGTTCACTACGGACACAGGAAGACAGTACTACCGCAGTGGCCACGTGGGCTGAGGAGCAGCAGTAGAGAGGTAATGCGGCACAAATGAGCTCTGGACCAGGAAGGAGCTAAGTTGCATTTCATCACTTGTTTAGTTTAGTTGAAGAACCTTTCCATATCTCAACTTTTTTTAAATAAAGAATGGTGACAGTAGGCCCATCTACCTTAAAAGAATAGTGACAGCAGGCCCATCTACCTTAAATATTACTTTGAGAATGAGGTAATGTATGTGAAAGTGTTTGCAAAATAACAGGTAGCACTCAAGCTTAATGTAACAATATATACTGTTTCTGAGATAGGAGCTTGCAAGACAAGACCCACATTAGGTGCAGGGTTTAGCTATGCATCAGGGAAAAGGAGGTAGTTAGTGGTTACCAATAAATTTACAGCCCCCAAATATAGTGTTTTCTTTTTCCTCTAAATAATTTAAGCTCTTTATCACTTGGTCTTGCAACAGTAAAAACCCAAGGTATTTTAAAAAATAAATTATATGTACCTGAAGTTAAAAATGTGGGTAACAAAGAAAAAACTAAAAAACAACAGGAAGACATATAAACTAAAGAAAGGATCTGCATCAAAAGTTAAGGAAATCATCAACAGCTTAATGTTATCAAAATCTATATATTTAACAGATTCAGCCAATATTCAGAACCACTGCTGGTAGAAGACGGGAAAGAAAGAAAACTATAAATACCCATAATCTAGTTTATAAAAACAAATGCATAAAAAAGATAATCGCACCAATTACCTCACTGCCAACTAACTTCATTATAAATACTTAACTGTTTGAAGAGCAGGAAGAAAAGGTCACTTTAACATGGACAAATGGGAATGAGAGGCATCTGGGGAAATACATGAAATTCAAAGAACAAAGATTTTACCTCTCAATCAGAAGTAAATTCACTATCCACTCCCAGTCACTGGCACTGCCCAAGGCATCAATTTATTAAATGAGTTCAATCTCAAAAAGGCTGAAAAATGAAATGGTCTCTTCTGCTTCACTAGTCTATGAGATACATATAGACTAACTTAACTGGATCAATACAAACTAATTTTTGCAATGTAACACTGTATACACTACCAAGTGTAAAACTACCTGCATTCAAGTGGAAAAGGCATAACAAGTCCATCAACAAACATGCTCACAAATGCTTTCAAATAGCATTAAACACATAAAATGACCAATCAGTTGGCACTGGAAGCCACAAAAGGAGGTGACTTTACAATCACATGTATTTCCAACTGTTAAACGATATGAGCAGGGTCACAGAGAGGGATAAGCCAACCTATCTCTTTACAAAGGTCTCATCCCACAGGATGTCATCAGAGGTAAACAACAGAGAAACTTCTTATCTCCTCTCCTAACCATGATGGGAGAAGCATTTATAAAAAAAAAAAAAAAAAAATCCAGATTTCCCTGATGCTAACAATAGTGAGATGAAAAAGAAACAGAGTGAATATTTAGGTGAATTTTCACGAACTGAAGAAGGCCCTTAAAAGCATTTGAAGAGAAAAGTCCTTCCTGTGAAGAAACTAGGTCAGCATGGCATTTCAAGCTTCTTTGCTCTTTTGCAGGGAGAGGGGAATATGTTTTTAAATATGATCTTCAGCAGGAGAAAGTTATCTAACGAAAAAATAGCATTCACAACTTCTGAAGACTTGCCAAGTTTCACAGACATCTCAAAAGCAAAACCTTCATTGTGGCATTCAAGCCAAGGCACAGAGTTCTGAGTTCAAGGTTTCTTAAGGCCAACACAGGAGAGCGCATATCAGAATTGTTATCAGAAAGGTTTCTTAACTTCTGTCCGCACCAACTATAAGTTATCAAGACTTTTCCATCTTTAGCTATTTGTAATCTACTTATCCTTTCTTTCCAAATAATCAAGATACACGAAGGAAGTATCATTCTCTATGAAGGGAAAAGAAGCTAACAACTTGTTTTTCTGAGCTGCATAAAAGGATTTTTTGGTATTATATTTCTTCCACATCAAGCAGAGTACAAGTTACGTGCAGCATGTCAATTGGTACCTGTGCTCCTGATACAGGGCCAAAAGGGTTTGGTGGTCTCATGACAGGCTGGCTGTATATTAAGCTTGGTTGTGTCATTACAGGTACACTTCCCATTTGAGGAGGCTAAAAAAACAATAAACAAAAATTCCTCAAGTTAAAGGATGCTGACTCACATTTTCCTTATTATAAGTAAGTAAACAAGAAGGATGATAACGATGGACAGTACTAGTACATTTGAATTAACTCAAAGGGAAAATGTCTATAAATGCAAATAAGACTGACAGCTGAAAATTTTAAGAGAATTTTTTTTAATATGGAAAATCTTTCATGTGCTCATTTTTTAAAGTTTACCAAAAAACTCAACTTTTTCTATATGAATTGCAAAATTCAAACTACAATAAACAGACAAAATAATTTAGACCAAAAAAAAACACCCAAATTTGCCATTTTTAGACATAGGGAAACTTAAAACTATAAAATGGCTAAGACATGTCAAAGTAAATTGCCTTTGTTTATCAAATCCAGTTCTTATGCCATAATGATTCTTTGAAGAAGTTTACCTTCAATATTCAATAGTTCATTTTATTTTACACATTTTTAGAGAAAACAAAAAAAAGAGGCTTAAATTACACACACAGAGGTTAGTTCATTCTTGAATAACTGAAAATAAATCTCAACCAACCATCTCTTTAAAAATTACCACTCCACGATATAAAATTAACATAAGTGACAGAACAGAGTACACACAGACCATCACATTATTTTGGTTAAAATGCAGTATTCTAAAATCTTATCTTTCTGCAAGCTCTATTTAACTTTTTAAGATGACTTCTATTTTCAGTGATTCACTTTATGAGTTTCCTGTGAAGACACCCTTTTTAAGTAATGACTATTGACCCAAAAGCTTTTATGAAACTTTTTCATATGCAGGGAAAGAGCTACTTTCACTAAGACGTAAATAAAGAAGTAGCAGAAGTAGCCACAGCAGCAATGCCAATGGATGAACACTGCCTCCCACCAGCAACAGTTTCCCAGAATGTGTAGTGGGCTGAAGCTACTACACCTTCATTTCTTATTTGAGTCTGTATATTAAGAGAGCTGGCAGAGTAGGGGCAGTTTATAATGTGGGTTGTGGGCAGCTTAAAAGTTTAAACACTGTTTCTGTACTATACCAATCATGTCATAGGAAAATTTCTCTGGCCTTCACTAAACTAAATTTACCCCCTACACAATTCAAGAAATATCAACTCCCCGCATCCACTATAGTAGTATTAAGGTTACAAGACCTCACTGGTATTAGTATAAGGTCAAAGCAACAGAGACTTGGAGTTAACATTAATGTTTAAATGAGTTCACAATGAAGTATAGATGCCTAACAAAACTTATGAGAGGAAAAATAAGCCAAGTAATACAGTGAACATTAATAAATAATAATTGTTGTATAGTAACTGTTCCAGAAATACTTATAAAACCTATGCTATGATGCAAGGTTCTGTGCTAGTTACTAAGGGTATGTGTGGCACTAACTCTTTTTTCAGTTAAGTCTGGAAATAAACACATGTTAAATGTAGGTCAGTCAATTTTCAAAAAGCTGTGTTGGGGAAAATACTTACGATTCCATATCCTATCATGCCTGTTGGTGTAGTAGCAGGATAGGCCATTACAGGGGGGGCCTGACATGATGAGAGAAAAAACAAACAAGCAAGTGTAACTCATATATGTCAATGGAGTCCAGGTAATTAATAGCTAAAAAGAATTGCTAAGACAGCTGTGATTAAAGGTGACATTTGTGTTCGTTAATAACTGTGTCAAGCTCAATGACAAAAGGTGTCTTGAAATTAGCAGAAAAGCAGAATTATTAGAAAGAAAAAATACCATTTAAACTTAGATGCAACAGTGATCTAAGATTTCAATGTGCTTTTACAGCATTAAAAATATTCAGATTTTTAGAAATATTCAAATCCTGCAACGTAACTTCTGTCTCTCCCATAAAGATGTCTGCCCAGAAAAAGCAGCACAGTGAATGTTCCTAGGTGCTTCACTTCTGCATCAAAGACAAAACTTAAAGATCTCAAATCAATGAACAATCTGATCTTCCAAAAGACTAGCTTCTAAGGACCTCAATCACTTCTTTCAAATAAGCCCGAAGATTTCAAACCACTATGCAGCATGACTCAAGTTTGTATGTAGAGTATACATATTAATATTCCAATTTATTCTGTAAATTATTTAAAATATCTTCTGCAAAGCACCAATTCAGAGGAGTAATACATTTTCAAGTCTGTTTATGCTTAAATGTCTAAAAGAATGATCTAGAACTAAGATGTTTAAGGTCCTTCCTCTTCCCACCTCAATTCATACTCTGAAATATACAACCTCAGCAAGAATCATTTTAGATATATTTGCTGTCTTAACAACATTCCCTATGTGTTATCTTTTAATAAAAACTTAAGATGAGTACAGGTGAAAGACCAATAGCACTGCTAAAACATAAAAAAATAACATTATATGGCAATTTGAACATACACATGGAGAAGTTAAATAAAGCATAACTAAAGTGAATAGTTAAAAGTTTAGTATTTGAGTGAGCATGTAGAACTTATTGGTCTCTCCCTACTTAAAACCAAGAGCTGCGAGAGCAGTAGACAAACTGCCAAGTACAGCAGAAGCCTGTAAGATTTCATGCAATTGTTATTTTCAACATTACCACAATCACCATTTCCCTTCATTCAGAAGTCATCAAGTGCATAGTGGAAGCACAGATACAAACACAGATGCCCAGCCATCTGGCAGCAAATGGCAGAATATTAAGCAAGAAAAAAAATTTATATTTCCCATGCTACCATCATCAGAATCAATTCTACAACAAACCGATAAAATCAGTAGATGCTAGGAAGAATTTTTGGCACATTGAAAATTTGAATGTGAAAACAAGTAATAGCTGGAAGGTTATGAGATTCTGCTACAGCAGTGGTTAATAGCATGCCAATTTATTGCAAAAAAGGCTAGTTTTTGGTCACTTACGTATTGTGGAAAATGCATGCCATTCTGTTTTTCCCAGGGAGAACAATTACATAATGCAATAACACTGGATTAGAACAAGTACTTACACAACATAAAATACATAGAGAGCATTTTAGTTCACAAGTACATTCATTAACTACCTAGAATTCCTTGTATTTCCAGTATCTAATGGAAGAACATCTATACTAAAACACTATCAAGGTTGACAAGGGAAATTTAGTCTTTGGCATCATCACCTTACTTATGTAAGAGTTTACTGATTACAAGTGTCATTAAACTATAAAACCTATCAGTAGTACGAATAGTGCAAAGTTCAGTGCATACCATAAACAGGAATGCATTGTATAATGAATACCACAGAAAAAAAAGCAAGCAGTTAAGAGTTGGTAGTGTAACATCATTATATATTTTAATATCAATAAATTTGTTTTAAGTTTTAAGAAGTTTAAAAACCTTGACAGTGTTTAAGGATTAATAAAAAGGTTAGAAATGTAAAGAAATGTCATAAGCAGCAGTGTATCTAAGTAGTGAATCACATCACCAGCCCTAAATGTTAGTCATTAAAAAGAACCTCTATAAAATACAAATGTTTTAACAAAGTCCTCAAGAGATGATACACCTTACCATATACAACACAGCACCACAGATACGGTTTCTTATCAACACATTCTAGACGGTTAGATGCCTGTTACATTTTAACAGTCAGTCTAAGGTCAAGTGCTATTTGCAAACTTTACTATTTCATATAGATTAATACTAATTTAATACAAAATAAGAAAATATTCATTGTATTTTCATATCAGCATTCGGATTTATATCATGGTTCATATATTATATCAATGTATGATTCACACCTAGAGGTGTTACAGTGGGAAAACACTGGATTCAGAGTCAGAAGGGACGGATTTCAATTTAAATCTGCTTCTGAGCTGCTTTCCACTTGAGGGGAAAAAAAAATTACTTTACACTTACAGTTGGGACAATAGTTGCTCCCAAGAGTGCACTAATTATAGAGTCAGGATAGTGTGTGTGTGTAAAAAAAAATTACTTTACACTTACAGTTGGGACAATAGTAAAAAATTACTTTACACTTACAGTTGGACAATAGTTGCTCCCAAGAGTGCACTAATTATAGAGTCAGGATAGTGTGTGTGTGTGTGTGTGTAAAAAAAAATTACTTTACACTTACAGTTGGGACAATAGTTGCTCCCAAGAGTGCACTAATTATAGAGTCAGGATGGTGTGTGTGTGTGTGTGAGTGATAATAGTTGCTCCCAAGAGTGCACTAATTATAGAGTCAGGATAGTGTGTGTGTGTGTGTGTGTGTGTGTGTGTGTGTGTGTGTGTGTGTGTGTGTGTGTGTGTGTGTGTGTGTGTGTGTGTGTGTGTGTGTGTGTGTGTGTAAAATGTAAACTATTTAAAATGTAAGGTTTTATTATTGGTGATGGTAGTGACCACTACCAGGAAAAAAGTTGTTTAGTCGTTAAGTCATGTCGAACTCTTTACAGCCCATCAGGTTCCTCTGTCCATGGGACTGCCCAGGCAAGAATACTAGAGTGGGTTGCCATTTCCTTCTCCAGGAGAATCTTTCTGACCCAGGGATCAAACCTGTTACCTCCTGCATTGGCAGGTAGATTCTTACTGCTGAGCCATCAGGGAAGCCCAGAGAAAAAGTACTGATTTTAAAAGGTGGCTAAATTTTAATATTATTTTCCACTAATGAAGACTGAGATTAACAAAACTCTCTAGATAATGTCATGGAAAACTTTAATAGCACACTATTTTTAGCTCAGCCCTATATTTAATTTTTACAATTAACCCAAGGAAGAAAACAGCAAAACAGCACAATGCTCTGGAAGAGATTTAGTAACAAAAGTGGCTATGACAAAGATATGAGGGTCTCTAACAACAGAAAGGACAGTGTAGCTTGCATAATCAAAATGCTACTTATTAGCCTAAGTTTGCAAGAAAGCACGTTTCAACTTTTCTCAAGAAAAAGTTGGTTCTCTCTGACCCAGGAAGACATACTGGACTGTGAAACAGTAGCTGACCAGGGGTAGTGGTACAGCCACAGACTACTCCGGGACGACCAGGCCTTACGGTGACTAAGACCATCAGGACTCCTGCAGTATGGGATTAGCATCCCATAGCTAATCCCATCCCATTAGCTCGATGGTCCTCCCTGGGACGACCATGCCTTACGGTGACTAAGACCATCAGGACTCCTGCAGTATGGGATTAGCATCCCATAGCTAATCCCATCCCATTAGCTCGATGGTCCTCCCTGGGACGACCATGCCTTACGGTGACTAAGACCATCAGGATTCCTGCAGTATGGGATGCTAGCTCAATAGTCCTCCCTAGGACGACCATGCCTTACGGTGACTAAGACCATCAGGACTCCTGCAGTATGAGATGCTAGCTCAATGGTCCTCCCTGGAGGCTCAGACAGTGAAGCATCTGCCTGCAATGCAGGACACCTGGGTTCGATCTTTGGGTTGGGAAGATCCCCTGGAGAAGGAAATGGCAACCCTCTCTAGTATTCTTGCCTGGAGAATACCATGGATGGTAATTATCATACAATTAATTTTCATTATTCATAGATTCTATATTTGCACATTTGCTGCAAAATAAAATTTATTTGTAATCCCCAAATCAGTACTTGTGAAACTTTTGAAGTCTTTCATATACATGTGCAAAGTGGTGAAAAATTTGTCACCGGATACATCTGGTTCTGACAGGAAGATAACCAGAGGATGGAGAACTAGGGAACAGTGTGGTATACTTGAAGAAGCTCTGACTCAGGGGCCAGCTGGGTAGGTCTAGAGTTTCAACTCGGGTACCAATTAGCGGGGTGGTCAACTGAACACCTCTGAATCTCCTTTTCTCTTTTGTAAAATAAAAGAATATATCATCTACTAGAATAAATTTATCTAGGATTTAAGATTATAATCTACGTGAGATGTGTGAGTGTGTATACATAAACGGCTGAAACATACTTGCTTGGTTTTTGTTAATACTGTCACCTCATTTTTATAGCTGATTCTCCTTATTTGCTGCACTTAAGGTTCAAAAGACCCTGATGCTGGGAAAGACTGAAGGCAGGAGAAGAAGGGGACGACAGAGGATGAGATGGCTGGATGGTATCACCGACTCAATGGACATGAGTTGGAGTAAACTCCGGGAGTTGGTGATGGACAGGGAGGCCTGATGTACTACAGTCCGTGGGGTCACAAAGAGTCAGACACAACTGAGCGACTGAACTGAAGGTTCTTAAAGTCACCAGAACACTGAATTAGTGAACACTGAGCCATTGTTAGGGGAAACACAAGTATGTGTGTGAAATCAGCAACTGATTCAGTGTTATTTATTTTACATAAATAAACAACAGATTTGAATAGCAGTAGAGAATAATGATTAAAAACACAGCCTCTAAGGTAATGCTGCCTGAGTTCTAAAAACCTACCCCATCTTTTTTATTTAGGCTTATTACTTAATAATCCTATGTTTCCATTTCCTCATCTATAAAATGGGGTAATAACAGTTACTATCATGTAAGGTTAATTTGAGGATTATATAAAACAAAACCACATATTATTTGTTAGAATGATGCCTGGCACAAAATAACCCTTAAGTAAACGTTAGCTACAAAAATGTACCTGGCAAATACTGTCAACCCAGCTTCCTTTAGAAGCTGAATAAAAGAAATAAAAATTACTTTTGTTTCTTAAATTTTATAACAACATTTGCACTTATGCTTTATCACTGCTTTAAACACATTTTCACAGTACATATTAACCTAAATTATTCATGTTAGTATATCATGAGATTTTCCAACTCACCATTGTTGCAGCATTCCACGCAGTTGTTGGTGCAACCTTTGGTTGCCAGTTAGATCCTCCAGTTAGCTTCTTTTCACCTGGCTGACTCCAATTTACATCACTTTAAATAAATACAAGTGAGATATAAATGTCTGTAATTATGAAGTTTCTTTACTATAAATTTATATTGAACAGAGCATTTAAGATGCAGATGACGCTTATACACATACTTTCTTGAGATAAAAGCCAAACCAACCTCTAGATGGCACATGGGAAAAAAAATACAAATTTAACACTCACTTCTTAGTGGTTCCATTTCCAATGCCAAGATCTAGGACAGGAGAAAAAGAAAGCATTTAAAAACTAGACTCATTTTTATAAAACAACTTATTGTAAAGAAGATGGAAGAATTAAAAAATACTTACTGCCCACAAGGTTGGCTAAGGATGAATCCAAGTCATCAGATACTAACTTGTTAGGTGGGAGTTTGGCAACGGGAAGACTCTGGTTCTGAGAGGCCACTGTTGGTTTGAGAAGTCCACCTAGTTCATCAAAGCCTTAAAGTTACAAACAGATGAAATAGGATTTTGTAAGGAACTTTATAGAGCTACAGCTTTCTAAAGGAGGTTTCTGTCTTTTCTCCTTGTTTGTTTAATGGAAGAATCCTCTAAGAAAATAAACGCTTTTAAGTGGAAAAAAGAGAAATCCACCATTTCAAAGTAAATCAACTGAGGAGGCTGTGTGTACTTTGGCACAGCTCATTTGTCTTACGTCATAACAAAATTATATTAAAGTTAAAGGGAATGAAGAAAGAAGCATCCAAAACTGGGATAAGAAGGAGATGGAATTAATCCTCTCCCTCAGCTGATAAAGTCTTCTGAAGACTCAGTCACACTTGAAGAAATATAAGTAAAAAAATACATCTCTGAAAAAATGTTTCTTTTAAGAAACCATACTTTATAGACCTTTTTATACTCTTCAAAGTGAAGAATGTAAAGTATATGTAAAACAGTACATTAGAATCAAGTGAAAATGAACCACTAGCTTATCTCTTTTCTTCTGTCTAAAAACAGCCTAAATTAAACCTAAGAAATAGCTAAACTACACTCCAATTGCACAGAATCATGTAGCAAACTAGGACATTGCTTAAAAATAAAACAAAATCCCTTAAGGTTCTCTCCTGAAGGGTAAAAGGTAAAACAAATCCAATCAACCAAGCCACCAACCAACTCAATAGCATAACCTAGGAATACTAGAGAATTTGAAAAAGAAAGTCACCAAAAATGGGGGCTTATAAAATATGAACTGGTTTCTATATCCTTCATCCGTCCTCCCAGTAAGACAAACTCAAGAGGAAAAAGTTAAATACATCAAAAATCATTGTAAGCCTACCAGTGCACAAAAAAACTGAATTCCTAGTCTGTACATATTCTTTATAAGCTCGCTTCTTACTTTTGTATAACTATTAGTAACTGCATATTATGAAATTAAGAGCATCTCAGTATGTTTAAATGGTTTGATTTTATTACTACACTTACCACCCTATGATTAAGAACATCATTTAGTGTCAACTTTACAGGAATCCAATCTTTAAAAACTTCAAATTAACAAGATACTAAATGGAAACCTAGTTCTATTGGTCTATAAAGCTATCTTAAGACAAATGAACAAGCATACTACAAAATGATTAAAAGAAAAAAAAAAGCCCCTGCACCCACAGCTCTGATATTTAATTATTCCAGCTGTTCACTATATAGACTATTTCAATACGTCAAGGTACCACAGGTAATACTTTCCTAGTTTTCAAAAAAGCCAATTTCATTTCAGTAAAACTTATAGTGAGTAAAAGGCAGAGCATTCTACACATGGTCACTAGTAATTGAGAACTCTAAGGAAAATCTCTTTTTTCTCTTAACAGCTCTGGGAGAAACAGAATCTTCCCAGATTCAAAACTGCCACTAAGAAAAGAATAAAGGCTAATAGTCGCTTGAAATTTTCTTCCAGTCGTTGGGGGAGGAAGAACGACTTCTTTGGCTATCCTAATTCCATCTATTTACACATGTTAAAAGTACCATTATCTGTCCCTACATAGACTCGAAACTAGAACACTAGGGTAAAGGTAATAAAGTAATTTTTTCTTACCCCCAGAATCTACAGTAACGTTGGTAGATTTATTTCCAAACACAGATTCAAAGTCAACATTAAGGCCAGCTGAAGGATGTGGCTGTGCAACTGGAGAAGGAGTGAACCCTAAAAGAAACCAAAATGGAAGAAGCTCAATCTTTAATAACTCTACATTTATAGATATCTAATAATGATGATAATAGAATGGAAAAAGCCCTAAATTCCCACAGCAAAAAACAAAGCCAACCCTTAAAGCAAAATGTTTCCTAGACTATCACATCTCTTTGTGGTGATTACATTTTCCAAAACAACATCACCCCACTGACTAAGAAAATAAAAGAGTAAGTAAAGTTGAATTACTAGTTTGTTTCATTACAAAATAACATTTTTGCTTATTTTTTACCTTAAATTTTTATGCTAATGATCTTTAAAAAACCAAACACACTGAAAATTCTAGGATCTTGTATGAACCCAAAATTTAAAGGATCTTCTGAGAATAAAATAAGAGTTCTGTGGTGTTTAAAAAAAAAAACAACAAAACTTAGTATCCCAAAAAGTCTTTCTCCCTCTGCCTACTCACCTTCCATATTTCTCGCCTTCCTTCCTTCAATGGTTAATCAAAAGCTATACGGTTTAAGTTCATTTGCAAAGTAACAGGATTCTTAAAAGTTATAACCCACTAATTCTTATGAACCCCCTGTGTTCAGATGTTTTTTGAATATTAAAAAAAAAAAAAAGACTATTTTCAACTACCTTCTAAGTTCAACTTAAATACTTCCAAAAGTGGGGCTGCCACATATGTAATCAAATATACTGATTTAACTAACTATGCTGAAACACAAGAACATAAAGGGAAAATTTATTCTCTCCTGTCAATGTTACACTGATGCTAGTGGCATTCAGCCAAGACATCAAGTTTATACTGAAACCAGGTAATGCTGAGGTAAATGTCAGTTGTGTGAAGTTTTATTTTTGTGAAGTGAGGTTCTGAATTTCTACAGGCTAACTAGAAGAATTAAAATCATCTAGACCTATTATGGCTGTCACATGACTTGAGGAGCTTTCAATCACTGAGTATATATTCAAGTAGAGAACAACCTAGCAAAGATCACAAAGAAGGAATTCTTTTACTTGTGGAAGGCTGGAATAAATGGCTATAATAAATTCCTTCCTTGAGGAAGGAATTCTCTTCCATCTCTAAATTTTATAAACTCATAATGCTAAAAAGTTTTAAATGTCTGGTATTAGAAGATTAATAACTATAGTAGAGAGAAATTAAATTTTTGAGCCCTAAACATAGACCCTTTCTTCCTGTCCCATCTTTCTGCTAAAGGCAATTTCAGTCTGTAAGAATCTCACATTGAACTCTTAATGTACATGACCAGGATATAAGGAAGTATAACAATGTTGTACTAAAAAGACTGATCTTAAAGAAAAAAGTAAAAATTAGGACAAGATTTGGTAAGAGGTTCAAGAAGGTCCTCAAAGTCAGAGAAACCAGAAAGGACTAATTTTTTATTAACAGTGACTCACACAAGCTGGTATACATCAAGGATACTACTGTAAAAGTAGTATTTTACATCAGAGTATGAATATTCTGTAGAGGCAAAGATTTTTAAATGTACAACTTTGATCTTATCCCATAATCATTTAGCCCTTAAAATACTCTTAACTCAAAGACACTAACCATACAATGAGAATACAATACTATTAAAATATAATTACACATATTGATTTAACAGCTCTCTGAAGTATACAAACTGTTTAAGAAATACACCACAGGCTTGCCAGTTCTTCTCAAAGCTCCTCACAAAAGCAACAGATGCATCTACTCAAGAAAGACAAAAATCTATCATGCTTTGTAATTATATCCCCATGCTACACCGTTAGTGTAAGACGCTTACAGTGTTCTTTAAATCCTAGAAACAATATCTGAGCTACAGTATCATTTAATAAGAAAACAAAGGGAACAATAATTTGTAACTAGGAGAGTATATCAAATTTCTATTTTCCTCTGATATGCTGTCCCCAATTCTTTCTAGAATTTTGCTGGTATCAGAGATGAGCCTATCCTTCATAATAACACAGAAACAACTTCATTACTTTCTGTAAAGAGAGGAGCCATCTCCTGAGGTCCCTAGGGGCACCAATCTGTGAAATTATGATGTTACTGCCTAAAAGTATAAAAGAGTTGAAAACATACGAAGTAATCCAGAGCTAGTACCTCAAATTTTAACAGCTTAGACTAGCAGAGGAAAAAAGTAAAAGGGAAATTCTTAATAAATTATAATAAGTGATTAGATTGTCAACCTTTAATTTTTAAAAGTGACTTAAAGCAATGTTATAAAATATCACCATTTCAAAAGAGAGGATTTAGGGATCCCCTGCAAAAGATGAACAGGCTCACCAAGTTAAGGTTAACTTGATGAAAACTGAATTGCCTAACTCTTTCACTTCACAAAACCCAGTGAAAAGTCTGTCACTGGCCACTTCACAGATTAACACTTTTTAATACTGCACTGTAGGAACAACCTCAAGAGGAAAATAATAAGCTGACTGAGAGGTACAAAATGAACAAGTGTTGGGGACAGAAAGGCATTCCAAACACCTCTGAGAAAAACTGGCTGGGTTGTTAATAGATTTTGGTGGTAGTTCAGTAATAAATAGGCCTCATACTTTTTTGAGAAAATAACTCTACTATTCATTAAACCAAGTTTTTTTTCTGTAACTTACCAACTCATTTTAAGGAAAACAACAAAACAAAATCCCTCTTGCATAAACAAACTAATACATTTTAGAGATTATTGTTACCTACCTCCAAATAAACCAGCTACAGTAGAAGGCTCATGGCACATAAGGGTAGTATTACGAAAAGCTTGAGTGCCACAAAAAGTATCTGACAAGGCATATAAGGGAGGAAAAGAAAGGATAGGAAAAAGAGAGAAAAGTGAGAAAGTGAGGAGGGACAGCTAAGAGTGGAATGGAGTAATTAAAAGCAAAAACAGGAACAAACAAAAACAAAAGAGAAAACAGCGGAGTCCAAGCCCTTGGTGTTCTTTAATTTACAACTTACTTAAAAAAAAAGCACTTAAGGCTCCATTATGAGTACTATATTTAAAACATATATATAAATAATATTCACAACAAATTTTAAAAAATAACCAACACTGCATGTCTTTAGATGAAAGAACATGAACCAGCTGGCTTGTTAGCCAATAGTAACAAGTCTTCTAATGTCTTCTGCAGATGAGGAAGGAGGTCTCAACAAAGTCACAAACATGGCATGGCTGGGACCATGACCCACTCACCTGACTTACACATCCCAGTATCCTTAGGGCTTTAATGAGGGCAAGCTACAAACTACACTGAGAACCATATCAAATCGAGGTCCTCCTCTGAAAGATCTGGAAGGTATCTACGTATCTAACTGTCTGATTTTTCCTGGTCATGCTTAACTCTGCAGGAGTTGGCAAACTACAGCCTGTGGCCTATTTTTATATGGCATGAGAGCTAAAAATGGTTTTTACATGTTGAAAGGGTTTAAAAAAAGAAAAGAAAAGATGATGACTCAGAGGTTTTATGCATCATATAAAAGCCTACAGTATTTATTACCTGGCTCTTTACACTAGGTTTCCTGATCACTATTCTAGAGCAGCACGACCCGACAGAGCTTTCTAGTAACAGAACTGCTTTCTAAACCCGCACAATATGCAGGGATGTGCGTACAGTGCGTTATGGCAGCCGCCGCGCCACTGAAGAGTGGGACTGGGGACAGTACAAGTGAGGAAGAAAAATTTTAATTGTATTTAACGTTTAATTTTAATAAATCAAGCTTTAAAGGATGACCTGTGGCTAGTGGCTAATTAGATGATGCAGCATAAGGAATGACACACCTTGGGTGGTCCTTTCATGCTCTTACTACTGAGTAAGAAACTACTGGAATTTTTATTACACAACTGTACTTCTTAGGAACTTTCAACTGGCACTGAAAGACTTACTCAAAGGCCTCTTCTACGACAGGCATCAACAAACTATAGCTGCTTGTCTTTGTAAATAAAGTTTTATTGGAACACAGCTAAGCTCATGTGTTTGTGTCTTGTCTATAACTGTTTCCATGCTATGTCAAGGTTCAGCAGCTGTGAAAAAGACTGTGTGGTTCACAAGCCAAAAATATTTACAATCTAACAACCTTTTAAGAGACAGTTTGCTGACCCCTACTCTAGATTAATGCTTAACTGGTTGATATCAGTGGTTTTTAATTTCCCCTTCTGCACTCACTTTCATTAAAAAAAAAAAAAGTAACAGTAAGTTTTAGAAAGAAAGAGTATTTAACAATACTCTGTAACAATACAAAGATAAAGTATTTAACAGTAAGTTAAGTCCTCTGTGTCTTCAGGGGACACAGATGTGACTTCCTGAAGACCATGCACTGCTCTGACTTAAAAAATGGAAATATATAGCCCAAATCAAAGTCATTATCTCCTTCGTATTTTCAAACTAAGGGATCAGACTTAAAAAGATACAGTCATATTTACTAAATACATACCATGCATATTCAGTAAATATGAAGAAAAGATACAACCTGTAAAAGACTATCAATAGAACCACTCCAAAGATACCTCTTGTTACCCCTTATTACCAAGCAAAAAGGTACACCATCTGACATATTTCTAAGAGTAACAAAATGTATAATGTAGTTTCAGTTGCTTTTAATCTAATTTTTAAATGTATGATAATATAATAAAGGAATTACATCCACCAAATAGTACACTTTAGAACTATTAGACTAATTATGTAATTAGAGCACCTGCCTTGAAACTTTCTCAAATCTCCAACTACCGCTTTCAAGTCATGTTCCCTTATTCTCTCTCAGATATAGCTAACACAATATTCAGAATGTGGCCTCATGCTCTATCTAGGGTACATAGATGACTTTATGCATGCTGCTTCAATCAAAGATTTAAATTTGTGTCACCTTATGCTGTATCTGTGAATTGAATGAAAGCACTTTCACTATCTTTTAAGGGGGTTTAGCATCATTTTAGCAGGATTCAAAAACATTTATTTCAGTTTAGGATATATTTAAAAACTTACTCTTCTTGGTATAACTTTGGTATGAAATTTTGCTTCTTTTAAATAGATTTTATATCACAGTTAAAGCTATTCAGTCAAGTTGCTTTTCATTTCCTATCTTCATTTACCTCCAGGCTAACAATAAAGTGAGACCCTTAAGATTAGACAGAGGGTATGTATAGGTTTTAGACAATATAAAATTATTCAACCATTATTTGAAATTAAAAAGGGGAAAAAAGATTAAGAAAGCTACTAAGGGTAATAACCACCCTCTCTCTCAAACAGAAAGGGAAAAATATAAGCACATATAAACATGTAAGTAAGTTCAAGAGATGTCACTCTTCAACCAACTCTAATAACCAACTCTCTGAACTAATAAACAGGATGTAGCATGTGATGCTACAATATGACAGAAAACAAAACAAAATTCAATTTCAAAGGAAATTTTCTTTCCTAAAAACTTGCATCAAATAAAATCAGGGATACTAGTGTTAAAAAAACCTCACTACACTATTGCGTTTATTTTAAAGTTTGTTATTAAAATCCAAAGTAATTATTGCAGTGCTTTAAAAATAATGGATACGTTAAAAAATACTTAGGCAGTATAAACATTAATTGGAAAGAAAGGTTAAATGGTACTTTACCAACAAACATTTCATGAGTAGGTGTCCTAGTAGTAAAAGTGGATACATCTGAAGAAATAGGAAGGTGAACATCACCACTACTTTTTGTGAGGAAAGGATTTAAGCTTGGAATGGCATCATCAACAGCATCTACAGTAGCAGAGAAAGGATCTGTGCAGTCCAAGTGCATTACAGCAAAATGAAGAAAGGAAGTAAATTAATTAGTATTGTAATTAGTCAAAAGAGGCAAAGTGAAAAGTAGTAGCTATTATCATTATTAATCCAAATGCAAATCTAATCACCAAGATGGAAGAAATGCATTTAACATATTTTGAAATGAACCCTCAGAAAAAAATACTTTTGTGTCCATAACAACAGCAGCATGCTAAGGATGGATCTGCTCTACAACATCAGAAAGACAACAGTCAGGTAATTTAAAAAGAGAATAACAACAAAATGTTTCTATAAATGAGCCATCTAACCTGAACCGTGTTCCCCACCCAAGAAGGGAGTGTATTGGCACAGCGATGCACACTTAAATAATTGATATAAATAACTGATACGTGTATGGAGTAAGTAGTACTTCAAAAAGCCGAAAGGGATTAGGAGTTCCTAACATGCCCATGTAACTCTTGTACAGGTTCAGATGTAGGAAACAAAATAATAAAGATGAAGCAAATGTCTAATGATGGAAAAAGAAATTTTGGAAAAATTAAGAACAGAGACAAAAGACTGGCCATGTTGTAGACTGGGATTAGCTTTGAAGGCCTGGCTGTTAAGTTTTAAAGCCTAAATGATTTGGCAGGAATAAAAAATGTACTGTTCCCTACTAGAATGTATCAAATACATACTATCATCAAGTCCTACAACTGAAGTTATTTTAGAACCACATATTTACTGTATCTATTCCTCATTCAAGGTAACCAACATTGTAATGACTGAAAGCCATTTATCATTCCTTAAGTATGGGGAGAAGCAAAATAAAGAGCAGCAAAAATAAACTGTCATAGTTTTATCTAGCACAACTAAAAATGAAAGGTACTCCTGTACTCCAACCAGTAGCCTATTTTTGTGTATTATAGTTTGTGGTCCTAACTTAAGAATACAGTATTCAGCACTATTAATCTACTCTAAGACTGTAAGACAGAACAATAAGGAGGCAATAGCCAAAGGAACAGCTTCTATATTACAATACAGGCACACTTTATCCTTAAAGTCAATAAACTGAAAGCTAGTGTTCTGCAAATCCTGCAACTGTAACTTCAAACAGAAAAATATCAAAATAAAATTGAGGTCACTGTATGAAGTCTTACAAACATACCAAAACTCACTGATATACTATCCTAACTCAAATGATTATAAAACATCTTTCCCATCCCTCCAACTCCTCAATAAATGGAAAAATGAGGGGAAAGAATCAGAAAAAATAATCCAGAAACAAAAAGTAGAAAAGAGTCAGAAGATGCACTTTTTGTACTAAAATACAAATGCAATGATGACCACTCTAACTCTTTCTTGTATAAGAAAGGAGCTACATTAAGTTTAGAGTTGATCAGTTCAGTTGAAAGTATTAATACTACTCTGAAATATCTGATAGTGGCATGGAGTTTTTAAAGTACAGCATACTTTGTTGGACAAGTAACACAAAACCTCTCTCTAGTTATCCATGCAGAAGCAGCCATGAGAGAAGTCATTCAAAATGAGTATACAGATGTTTACAACAGATTCATTAGGTTTTTGAGAAAAGACATGTTTGGAAAAAGTTACTAGTTAACTGCTACTCTGTTGACTGATACTTTTTACTTAAGCCCTTAATATCAATCATTTCCTATTATATGAAACATCCTAAAGAAGAGTATGCAGAAAAATGGTAAGTGCATCTGTATATTTAGATCAATCAGACAATAAGAAAAACAAGCTTTTAATCTACCTTGACAATACTATGGTATAGTATATTAACTATATATACTATATAACTATATAGTATATCATTTAGATTTAATTATACCATAAAAATTAATTCAAATTCATTAAAGATAAAAAAATAGTAATAACATTCCAGCTATTCCAACTTCATCAGCCTGGCAACTCTAAAATTCTGTATATTTTTATTAATACTTTTTCCTATAATTTTTATTATTCACTTGAAAGTTTAATTTTATGTAGAAAAATAATCCAGAAAGTTAAAATAAAGATTAAAATAGTACCAGTCATTTTTTTAGTGTTGAGATAAATATCTGATATCTACATCTGAACACAGAAAATTGAGTGTTTTCATAATGTCTTTTTAATGAGTGTTTTCATAATGTGTGTTTTATGCCAGCTGAGAAAGAAATGAATTAAACTTAAGAATGGGTTATTCATTTTTGCCTGAAATAAATTTTGAAATCTTGCTTAAAATATACAACAGTGTAATAAGCTGAAAATAATGTGTATCTCTAGATTTGCTGTAACTCAGTTTTTAAGGTGGTAAAAACTGAAATCTCAGCTATTAGTATTCAATAGCGATTGCGTGTTTCGACTCCAGACCATTTCTTGAAAAATCAAAGGCTCATTAATAATGCAATGAAAGAAACAAGCGGGCTTGTGTTCTCTTCAACGTTCATTTTTAGGTACAATCTTACTTACATACCTCTCTCATATAAACAGGCAAATCTTACTTCCTCTTAACTCTGTGTATCACTAACCTAGCTGTGATTGGAAATACACATCATTTCTGTGTTGCTTATGATAAGAACTAAATTAAATACCAAATCTGTTGCTGACATTCATTTTCAGCAAATGAGAGCAACAAAAGCATTATATAACATTTTAGAACTATCAAAAAAATCGAATCTTTGTTTTGTCACATGCAATAAAAGCATGATACAAAATGTTACATATTTCAAATGTTCAGGTAAATTGGTTAACTTCAAAAAGTACCTTCTGGAATTTACTGTTATGATCAAAGCTTTATATAAAAGACATATTTATCTTAGTAACTTTAATTTTAAAAATAAAGGAAAATATCTTAATCTTAATCTCATGGATATGAACACCACAATGATTAAGTATAAAGACTTCTTAGCTTAAAATACTCTTCGGCTATCTCTTCATGCATAAGTCAAAACTTCGAAGTTATTACCAACTCAGAAGCCAAATACAAGACAAAGTTTCATTTTTCTTAAATTGAGGGGCTTATAGTAAGATCACCATGCTTTCCTCATATATAACTGTGAGCTTTTGGAAAACAGTAGTCAACTGCTACTGCCTCTGCTCCCAACTATACCTTATACCTGATAATACTTCTTTTAAAACAATTCTTACATTGCCACATTTAGATAGCAAGCCTAATGTTAAAATATGGGGGAAATTTTGACGAAAACAGTACATAAACCTAAATAACCTAAAATAAAAAAATAAAACATAATTAAATGTACTCCAACATTCCATCACAAACTGCTATTGGATAATTCTTCTAACAGACTATAAAACAATTTTTACATACTGAAATTACTTAAAATTATTCTCTCACAGTAATAGGCTATCTGCTTTCATATGTGAGCTCAATGATTCCAAACAGAAACTTTCATTTGTCATTGTTACAACTGTATCCAGATAAAGCTATCACCCAATTCAGTTTCACTAAAATGTTGTATTAGTTCTCACTAAGTCTTCTGTAAAATTTTTCATCTCTCCAGTAATCCAACTTTTCAGCCTTAATTTTAGAAAAACTATAGCTTGGTTTTTTTAAAGGTAAGCAAACTAAAACTGCTTGAATGGTCATGTTAATTCTATTAATAACATTTTTCTAAAGCAATTCACAATAAGCAGGAAATAAGCATGTAAATTTTGCCAGGTTAAAAATCCTAAAATTCTAATTATCATTAGGCTATTAAAAAATCCCTTTCTCTTAACCCTAATATGAAGTCTACAGATCATTTAAATAATTCTAAAAAATTCACTGACTTTGAACTAGCTTACTACTTTTAAAAATTACTCCCAGACCTTAAGATTTAGCTCAATTAGTTTTTAAAATAAAGTGACAGCTCACAAAATTAAGTCTAAAAACCTAGTATTTTAGGGTTTTACTATTCCTTTTCCCTGTTCTGTCTTGAACCAGAAATAATCTGCCCCTTAAAAAGGAAAATGTCTACTGACTCAACAAACATTTACAAAGTACCTGCTATATACCAAGAAATGTCCTAGATATCGGGGATAATCACTCAACAAAATATCTTAGGGCTCCTCCCTTTACACATAGTTTACGTTCTATTATATACAATTGAGTCTTAAGAAATAACTATTAAAAAATCCAAAACCGTTATTAACTCAAATTATTGAAGAAAAAAAGTCTAATATATCATAAAACCCCACTAGAACAATGAATCCCTGCTCTGAGAGGTAAGCCACTCAAGTTAGATTTTACATGTAAGCCAGCACAAAGTTTAAGGTAGCTTACCATTCTACAGTTTTCTAGACAATGTCCTTTCTCAGAATATCTTCCCCTGTCATAAAATTTTTTTGAGTGTTTGTAAATAATATTTACATAAATACAAACAGAAGTACCAAAACCAAACATAGGAAATGATTTGAAAACATACTAAATGTCTAACTTAAAAACTGACATGCCTCACTCTTCAAAGATGCCGGGTCATGAACATTAATATGTTCACCTTAAGGTAGAAGAACTACTCAAGGGCAGCAAACTTTCCTGTTGGTACTAAGGGAAAATTCTTTGAATACCAAAATCTGAATTAAATGAACATTTTAAATATAAGTAGCAAAAGTCTGTCATGACATTCCTCCACAGAAGATAGTGCACTGCCTGATAATTTAACTGGATTTAACTGGAACTTCATTAGATGAGTTTTCCCCTCTGCAGTGAATTTTTTTTCTATACCAAAAGTAAAATACCCATTACATATTTTTGGGTAATAAAATAGAAATTCAACATTGAAAGAATTATTTCACACTTAAACATATGGTCCTTCTTCATCTGCATTAAATCTCATTTCATAATTTAACTGAACATATATTCTAAAGTTGTATTTATTAATAAATGAAAATGTCTTCAAGGGGCAAAACAACTTCACTGTCATATTAATATTTTTCAAGTTCTCATGGGTCAAGTGAAAGTAAGTAAATCCCACCACATGGGGAAGGGAGAGGCCTATACAGCACACAAAGTGGGTTCATTAATGCTTACCTCCCCACGTACTTGCTACCTGAGAAGGAGCTGACATTGGAAGTACAGACGGGTGAAAGCTTGGCTGCTGCAAATCAAGCAGATCATTTGGTAGCTTTGATGTGCTAGAAAGATATTTTGAAAATATGATTTATTTATTAGACTTTGTCGCATTAGTCACTCCTCTCACCCATTTCAGTAAATAAAAACATTTTTTTAAAGAGAGAAAAAAGCCCCAGTAATATAAATCTGAAAAGGAAGAACAGTTTCAGCCAAGATAAGAGTTGCACGTCCCTCATATAACAGCATATTTCAAAGGAGACCTGGAAAATGATTCAAGTACCCTATCTTAAGTTTAGAGAAGATTCAAGTAATAATAGCCATTTTGGAAAGAATCAAGGTCTTGCCCAGGAAAAAACTATTCTCTTTATTGAAAAGAACCTAGAACCTAAACAACATAATTCTAAATTATGAAATACATGACAATTAGTTTTTCTAGAGAAATGTGTTTTTTAATATTTAAAGGACTCCAATTACATTTTCAGTACCAAAACTCCCACAAAATAAAATACCTATTAACCTTACTTCTATTGCTTCAAATATTAAGCATATCAGTAATAAAGAGAAAAAATTATACATGCATATATGATATAAACTTGTAACAGAGCCACCCCATTACACAATGCAACTTACATATATCTTACCACGAGACTTTTACATGATTAAGAAACAACTCAAATAAGATTCCAGTTTCAAAGAATTGAGGCATTATTTGTACCTCAGCATAGTTTATTTTTAACTTACACTTATTCAAAAATAAAAAGTTTTGAAGATGTATCTTTTAGATATAAAACATAGTGCTTTAAGTAGATAAAAATACAAATGTATTTAGTGCTTTGGGGGGAAAAAAAAGAGTATGCAGTAAGTGTTACGTAATAGGCTGTAAGATTTGTCCTTGATTATTATTAAAAAAGGTGAAAATGTTGAATGTATTAAGTGAAATAAAAATATTAGATCTTTATCAAACGATTTGTTTTATCCTCAAATATTTAACATTCTTTTCCTTGAATATCCACATCCTCCTACACTTTTTAGACAGTCTTCTTTTTAAGATCCCTAAGATAAAAACTTAACACTCAATGGGTTTGATGTAATTGAGGATTAAGCAGAGTATTACACAAAAATCAAAACAAACAAAAAGACAAAACTGAAAGAAAGAAAAACACGTAACTAAATACAACATCTACTAAGACTTTTGGGAGCAGGCAGCAGTTGAGTTAGTGAAAGTTACGCTTAACTGTAACAGGAACAGGTAAGTGGAAGGGAAGACTGTTTAAGGATACGCTAATAAACAGCAACAACAAAATTAAAGAAAACAAGCAAGCATCACTCTCCATGTGGCATTTACCGTGCTCTAAGCACCATATCCACGGTATTAAACCAGTCAAGCCTAACTAAAGAAAACCAACCCTTAATATTCATTGAAAGGACTGATGCTGAAACTCTCAATACTTTGTCCACCTGAGGTGAAGAGCCCAATCAATGGAAAAGACCCTGATGTTGGGAAAGACTGAGGGCAGGAAGAGAAGAAGACAACAGAGGATGTGATGGTTGGGTGACATCACTGACTCCATGGACATGAGTCTGAACAAATTCCAGGTGACAGCAAAGGACAGGGAAGCCTGGTATACTGTAGTTCATGTGGTTGCGAAGAGTCGGACACGACTTAGCAAATGAACAACAAGCACCAAGCTAAACTCTATATTAGTGATCCTACGACCCTGACAGATATGAAAATTCTTGATTCTTAACCCTACAGCTACTGAACCAGAAACTCTAGAGGTGGGGCTCAGAAATCTGTGATTCTGATGTTAGCTAAGACTGAGAACCATAATCTGCACATTATCTTGTCTGGAAACTGAGATTTTAAAAAGAGAGATAAGAAATAAACAAACCAGGATTCTTATACTCTAAATCACTTTAAGGTAAAACACAGGAGGGATTTTCAAAAAGTCAGTTATTCTAATTGCCTGGAAATATAATATTTCTATTGTTAAGTAGCTTAAACTAGGCAACCGGATTACTGAGGTTGGGTTGGTAGGGTTCAATACCACAGAAATCTGGCAACTAACTCTTACTGTGTTTCAAGTTACCTATGGGACTAGAAATGAAAAACTTTAAATATCTAATGAAAGCATATTCTGAAATTACACATCATACATACATATCCAAGAGTTATACACAAGGTCTTGAACTATTAGAAACTTCACAAATGTGTATAACTAATAGTTGCTTAATTTTTATTTTTTTACAAGGAAACAATTGCCCAGAAAAAAACCACCACCCTCTAACTGGTATAAATTTATCATTTAGCCATCTTCCACTTTTAAAATATTCGATATAAACTCTTATCACTTTGTATTTAGATATTACTCACTACCACCGTTTACTACTACCTTCTTTGTGTGAATTCATGATTATGAAAATCTGGTATCAAATTAAACCTGAAAAGCTCTGCCCAATTGATATAAATCTTTAAAACCTAGACATTCAAAGGTAAGTGTTAACCACGCCACCTACCTGTTAGAAGAACTAGGGGTAGAAAATATGTCAATGGCTGGTGCAGTCATTACACTCCCTGCTGAGGTGGACACAGGAGAGGCTGCAGTTGTTAAAGAGGTATGAGGTTTCTTTGCAAGTTCTTTTAGGCGCTGCTCCTGTTGAGAAAGGGCACTACTATAAGGAATCTAGAAACCAGAATGATTTGTAAAGCCTTTGAAAGAAAGTGTTTTCTAATTTTGTTTTGATAGCAGAAAGGTATTCTCTATATCGTCAATCGTTCAATGTCAGGATGAAAAATTAAGAGTACTAAATTTCATCTCGTTTGTACAAATATTTATTAAATATCATTAGTCTGTATGGAAGTCCCAATTACTTTATGAGCACCTATACTTGCTTTTCCAAATAATTTAAGAGAATGCATACACCTACCTTTAAAGCTTTTAAACGAGCCTGTTCTTCCTCTAATGCTGCCTGCTTTTCCCTCTCATCCACTTTGGTAAGAGACAGGCCAGTGCTTGCCAGGGAAGAGACTGCGTTGGAAAGTGTTGTTGCCCTAGGATAATCAGGCAAAAGTAATTCGGTTTTTGGCCAAAGATTTCACATTATATCCTGGTTACAAAATGATCTAGCGGGCTAGCCATGGATAGATACTATAATTATGAACTAAACCCATGGATTCAACATCAGTACTTCAGAAGAAATATTCTACCCACTCATCTGTTAACATCAGAGGATTGTTAAAAAATTAGCTGATTTACACATACATTCATTATTAATATTTTTAACTAAAAAAATATTTTAAATTAAATGTTAGACTTTGGAAAGGATTTGGAAAGGATTCACAATAAAGGTGAAGGACACTGCCTCTTCCAAGCCCAAGGGAGGGATCCAATGCAACTGGAAAAGAGTTCACATACTTCAGGGAAAACCCTGATGGGTAAAACACATTGAATTTCTCATTAAGAAGTGACCTTCTTCTGCTAATTCACAACCTGGATTTGGGCAGTACTACTACAGGACACGAAAATACAAGAACCAGCAATAAATAATGCATATGTAGATATGCTTCCCTGATAACACCCCTTAAAGATGTCATTCCCAGAGGACCCACAGGTTCTCCCAAAAGGAGACTAATGTCATCCCAGTCACCAATCCATTTGGCACCTCCTTTCTATCTGCTACCCTTTCACCAAGCTAGAATTTCCTTTTCAAACATACTATATTTGCACATGCATATGTAATTCCTCATTCCTCACTGGTGGATTCACAGCAAGCCATCTCCTTTCCCTTATATCAAAAATTTACCCAGATCATAAAACCCGACATTTAATTTCAAATGTTAATTCTAGGCAAAATAAACATGCATGGTAAAGAATTCTAACCTGGAACTACACCTCAGTGACTGCTACTGATTTTCTTTTTATCACACACCAAACACCATTAATTTCTACTCTAAGTAAACAAATAGAAAAACTAAGTTTTGTATAAAAATCAATTTTATAAATGACCAATATAAAGATAAAACTCTGAAGACAAAGGAAGAGTAATACTGTTCTAAAGAAATTTGAAAATTATTAGAGATTAAAAAAGCATATAAGGTAAATCGGTATACCTGAAGCTTCTTGGCTAAGTTTTTCATTATTTTCTCAAATAACTGGGCCTTATATTTCTAAAAATCTATCAGAAAATCACATCAAAAAGAAGGAAAGTTCTAATCATATATTATACAAAAATTTTTCTTCTACTAACCAACACAATAACAACATTACAAGGTCAATAAGAGATGATCTATATTATTGTCGATTTGCTAGATTCATTGGACTTAGTCTTGGAAATCAGCTAAAAGTCTATCAGAAAGATGAAAACATGTCAGCAATCACCACCAAGAACTGGCATTAGAGAAAGATGAGGAAACCTTACGTTGTGCGTCCTGTTCTGAGTCCCTGAATTACTACACACACTTCACAGGGCTATTGGTGAGGGTGAATCAAATTTGTAAAAAGGAAGTCTTATAATTAGAATATACCATATGAACTCATGCATTTTAAGAGAAATACTAACATTATGAACACCATTCTAAACCACACAGTTACTATCATCATCTTAACAGATGCTGACATTTACTGAAAATTAGGAACTGCCACAAAAACTTACATGTATTAATCTTTACGAGCAACTCTCTGAGGTTGATACTATTATTAAACTTGACTTATAAATGGTGAAATCAAGATAAAGAGAAATTAAATAACTTGCAACTTCAGCTAGATTCATCTACTACTTTCTCAGAAACATCACCACCTCTCTTTGTCCCACAAAGAATAATGTACCTGCTTGCAGCTGTAGAATCTTTGATTTTCTTTCCTTCCAAGGAAGCTAAATGTTGTTCCAAAGCATCAAGAAGACTACTGGGGGCCTAAAATTGTACAAATATTAAGACTTTCATGATAATCACACCATCACTCAAAATAAATCAAGAATCATCTAATACAAGAAAGAAAAATAAATAGGTATATTCCCCATGAACAAATTAACAGGGGCATTTTAACTATCTAAGAATGACACTATTGTTTTTATTACATAAGCATCATCTGGTAAGACTATTAACAAAGGTATAAAAAGTAAGACTATGTGAACACAAAATATTAAGAGGATCCTGCAATTTTTAAATATTTAACTTATTTAAATTTTAAATAAAAACAATCCTAAAAGCTAGATATATTGTTGAGTGAGCTCCTGGTACGGAATAAATACTGAGTAACTGAAAGTGTCCAAATACTGTTTTGAATACTTACTGACAAATGAAACTGAAAATTAACATCAAGGAAACAAAAAAATCATAATGAGATACAACTTCTTACTCACTAGATGGTTACACAGACTAGCAACATCAACTGTTGAAGATACAGAGCAAATACAACTGTCATACAATGCTGGTGGGAATATGTCCACCTTGAAAAACGATACAGATTTTTTAAAAAAGAAAGCTAAATATACACCTACCTTAATTACCCAATTTCATTTCTAACTGTTTATTTAAGAGAAAGATAAGCGTATCTCCACAAGAAAAGACTTGTAAGCAGCTTTATTTGGTGGTTTAGTAGTTAAGTCGTGTCTGACTTTTGCGACCCCATGGACTATAGCCTGCCAGGCTCCTCTGTCCATGGGACTTCCCAGGCAAGAATACTGGAGTGGGTTGCCATTTTCCTTCCCAGGGGATCTTCCCAATCCAGGAAACAAACCCAAGTCTCTTGAATCTCCTGCACTGCAAGCGGATTCTTTACTGCTGAGACACCAGGGAAGCCCCAGCTTTATTTACAACAGTTAAAAAATTGTGAATAATCCAAAAATTTCCAAATTTTCCAATTTAGAAAAGAGACAAAACTGTGGTAAGTTCACATGATGGAATACTATTCAGCAATTAAAAAGAATTAATTAATGGTATATCTAACATATAGACAGCTCTCAAAACATGATGATGAGCAAAAGCCAGGCATGAAAATAGTCACATGATTCCATTTATATTAAATTCAAAAACTGATAAAAATTACTCTATTAAAATTCAAAATAGTGATTTGTGTGGAGCAGACTAGGGGTGACTGGAGGGGGACAGAGGCTGATGGAAACGATTTACATCTTAAATGGTGTATTGATTATACGAGTGCTTACAGTTAATCAATCCTCATTCAAACAGGTATTTACCTCAATTTTTTTTTAAAGACTAGCTTGAAACCCTCAGTCTATGTATCAAATTTCAACTGAATATGAACAGTTAATTACTTATTTTCAAAAGGAAATCTTGTCAGTGAGCTGAAAAGGAACTGTTCACTCCTTTTAAGTGAAGCAAATACATCACTGGCATTCACTTACACCAAATATTCTTTTGGATTTATATATAGCTTCTGAATTATAAGTATCCAAAAGCAGTTGGAAGAGACAGAACTAGCTAATTTCTGTCAACTACAACCTGAACAACTTCCTTCATCCAGTATTTTCTCTCTCTATGTATCAAGACCTTAGCAAAGACAGACATGGTAGAAAACATGGACTTCTATGTTGATCTGAGGACACATCTGCAATCCCTCAACCCCAGCACATCAGCAGGCCTACTACTGTCTGCGCTACGTCAGAGATGATGAGGAGAGCGTTACTAACAGCAATTACCATTTTAAAAGCTCCTGTGACACATGGAGCACTGTGCGAGCTACCCTGTATGCCATCACTGAATCCCTGAGAAAGACACGACTGCCATATCCATTTTACAAGGACACAACCTGAGACACAGAAAATGAACTTGCCCCAGATCACGTATCCGATACACAGCAGGAGCCAGTGTGTGAGGTATGTCCCATCTCAAAGCCTAGCTACTAACTACTCTGCTGCAGAATCTTAAATTAAAACTGAGGTCCTTTAAACTATGTATTTTTTTCTGAAACTTTTAAGTTGTGCTTACAAATACTTAAAATACCTAGGTATGATAATTAATAACTATTTCTTAAATCCCTTTTAAATATATCTATTTTTTCAAAGTCAAATCCACATTACAAAAAGTGAAGGAAATGTGATGCTTCACATCCTAAAAAGAACAACTTACAACATAAAAGGAGTAAATAATCTCAAATTTCCATTTTTAAAAATTTCCACTTGTGTATATCTACTATCTTTCCTAAAGTACAATCCCATGAATATTAAAGTACAGGCACATAATGATAGTATGGCCTGAGGCTGATCTTTTTCTTTTAAATTTATTTATTTTAAACTTTTTATTTATATTGGCATATAGCCCATGAACAATGTTGTGACAGTTTCAGGTGGATGGCAGAGGGACTCAGCCATATTATATGCATGTATCCATCCTCCCCCAAACGGCCCTCCCATCTGAAACTGTCAAATCAGTTTCTACTGTTCAAACAATGACTCTTACCACACTTCAGTTCAGCTCAGTCGCTCAGTCGTGTCCAACTCTTTGCGACCCCATGAATCGCAGCACGCCAGGCCTCCCCATCCATCACCAACTCCCGGAGCTTACTCAAACTCATCTTACCACACTTAAGTCTACAGCAATAACGTGCTCAATCTTAATGAGGTCAATTATTTCATGTGGGCATATACTAACGTTTTTATTTGCATATAATTAATAACTAGACCTAGTGTATACCCTTAGCCTGGAGATCAAAGAGATGAACCAGAACAAGTGAGTACAGAGAAAATCAGAAGAACCATTAACAAGCAAAGTATTTAAAAGAATCCCAGAATGACTGAAAATAAGGTAAAAGAGATAACAACTAGTGAGGAGAGAGCTGACACATAAGGATAGTTTATGCCAGGTCCTTTCATTCTTAATACTCAGTAAACAAACACCAGAAAAGGCCAGAAAAACTGCAGTTCTAAAGTTTCTTTCCTAAAATTTTTTTAAGATAATGATAATAAAAAATAATATTATAATAGCTAACACTGAATGTTTAATGCTCTAAATGTTTTTTAGGTATTAACTCTTAATCCTCCCAACTGAGATGGGTACTGTAATATCTACATTTCAGAAATAATGAAACTGAAGCACAGAGAGTAACTTCCCCAGATCACAGGGTCAGCTGGTGGCACAGCCAGGACTCAAGAGCAATGTTTTGAGGTTTATACTTATTTAATATATCTACCTGAGTCAAAAAGCCAAAGTGGAAGGTTTAAAACAGGAAAAACAAATCCTGTGTAAAATAATTCTCTACCAATACTATAGTGAAGATTTTGCTTTTAAAACACCATTCTCTAAGTTCAGTTCTTTCTTTTTGCGGGGGGTGGGGAGGGTTGTGGGGTGGTAATGATAATGATGAGAAACAGAGACTAACAGGGAATAAGCTAAAAGAACAGCAGAGCACTTGCCAGCTCTACCAAGGAGAAATGAGTAGGTTTTCATACGGTTATAATGTTGGAACAGTCATCAGCAATATATCAAAACATTAAAAATCAAGAAAAATTACACTGATCTTGACAGCAAGAGCTGCATATTATTCATCTTTGTACCCTTCAGACCTAGTAGAACCCAGCAGAGACGGATATTACAACAATACTTACCTGTGAAAGATCTGGTATATCACCTCTGTCAATTCCAACTTGCTGTAAGAAGAAGCAGCATCGTATTTAACAGATAAAAATAAGGGGTTTTATAAGTAAAATTTAGAAAATAACATTTATGACTAGTACTATGAGTAATATTTTAGGAAGAATTCTTTAAAATTAGAAGAATATTTAATCTCCACAGATATCATTCAATACTTCCAAAGACTTAGATATTATCTGATGGCTCTGAAAGTTCTAACAGGAGGGGAAGGAGAGTTGGAAATTCAACCAAGCTACTAAGTTACCATCTCTACATCTTTGAAACACCTAAAGAAGTTACCTTGTCACAATCTGAAAAATCTATCACTATCTAGGACAAAAACACTACACCAAGACTTAGAAAAGCTGACCATGAACAAGTCTGTTGGAGCATAATAAGAAGTTAAGGAACAAACCTAACAACAATGACTCACTCTTTCACCATAAAGTACACTTTCCCTGGCAGTCACCATAGATTTCAAACCTACATTCACTTAAGCAGGCCAGGTTTTATACAAATACCAAGTGATATTTAACCAGGATATAACTGTCCCCACAAAGCAATCCCAACACACTGTCACGATGCTCAGGTACTAGGCAATTTCTAGGAAAGAAGATAAAAACCATCTTATTTACTTCAACACCCTAATTTAAAAATTCTTTTCCCTCCTGTGACATGATTATTCATACTATATGACTATTTCATTTTCTAATCACTCTCCCTTCTTTTTCTCAACCTTTTAAGGGCCAATTCCAGAATGGTATCAGTACAAAATTTGATAAAATAATTCATACCAAGATCTTCAAAGCTAATCACTGAATATTTGTCAGCTTCAAACACATTTGAATAGGTTACTTGAGTTTTCACTCCAAGAACTAAGGTCTCATAATGAAACTGCGAGCCCAGAGACCACTTGATCAAAGAATATTCTTAAGGTAGGGGAGTATTTCTATGGAGTGGATGGTCCATTCCATCACAGGGTGAGACCAGCAGATCTGGAAGTGAGTAAGGGCTTAAAACTTAAGTCAGTAGATACAACTTATCAAATGCAAAGAACAAAAGAAGCCAAAGGGAAAGGTCAACAAAGTAAATGTATTTAAAGAATTTACTAGAATCATCATAAATACTACTTCTTTCTGGTTTTAGCATGTGACTGACCCTAAAGAAATGGGGGGAAAAACTGATTTCTCATTGAGAGATACTTTAAATCCAAATAAATTCCAGTACACTTCATAAAATAGTTTAACACCACAAAGCTATTTTCTTCAAAGGTCTCATCACCTTTTTGTATCTTTCTCCACCTACTACAGAATAAAACATCACTAAGGTAATAGAGGCAGAATCACCAACTTGCTAGTTTCAGATGAACTACTTTGATATTACTGATCAATAATATAATACATTCATCTTTTAGAATTACCCTAACAAGACACCTCTGGTAATAATAGGTAGATGGCAGAGAAAGGGAAAACAAAAACTCTTTAAGTGCTGCCTTTGTGGAAGCAAGATAATGTCTTATAAGCATTACCACAACTACCTTCTGTGACTCTCTCAGAAACTCATTTTTCAAAAAGATTTACAAAATTAATTATCTTGTAACCTACATTCATAGCTTTCATAAACAATGACAAACAATAAACACATTAAGTTCACTTCTGAAGGGAAGAAAACATTCTGAACCACATGGCTCTGGTTGCAAGCCTTACTGAAGGAAGGCGATCTGCACTAACATAGAGTATTCTTTACCATATTTAGTAGAATAAATCTACAATATACAGCCAATTCCAAACATAAAAATCACCGCCATATACCTGATTTTATAGAGAAGGAATTTAAAAATTAGATTACTTTTTAGTATTCAATACTAGATTAAATAACAGGATAATATTCATATTCATACTACAGCACAGAATGCAATACAGTATAGTGTTATAATTGAATAGATACCTTACTATATTTAAGACATTTCTTTCATTGGGTAAAGACTGATTTCTTTGAAATGTACACTTAACGACAAAGAAACCAAATTAAGAGATACAGTCATTTAAACACAGTTTACCTCTGCAACTTTGAGAAACTCTGAGATTCTAGTCATCCTAGTCAGGAACTTCTTATAGATGTCAAGACCTTCTTTGCACTGGTTCTTTTTCATATCAAAATATTTTTCTGCCAAAAACAGATATAAACATACTTGTATTCACATCAAAATATAATACTAAAAAGAGAAAAAGATTTAAAACAGCCCGAGTTATACTGATGTCTCAGAAAACACATTCACCCTACAGAAAAAAGTGTTAAATTAGCTTAGGTATTCAAAGCAAGTTAAAATAGAGATGCTGCTATATTAAAAATGAAGAAATTATGATTTTACTCCTATTACCAGGTTTTTCCTACAATATTTCTTCCCTAACAATTCCCTAAGTATAATTTGCATGTTAATATAGATCACATTTGACTCCATTTAAACCAGTGTTAAATGTCTATTTCCAAATATTCTAAGTAATATTAAGAAAGATGGCAACTTTTCTAAGTTCAGATGTCACTTGGAAAACTAATTTAACTTACATAAATAGCAGTAAAGAGCTTAATTTATACCAGTCACAAGGTGTGAGACTGTACTTTCCAAAACTTTATAAAAAACTTTCCATTTTTCACTTGTGGAAAAACAAAATCCAGTTTCCCTATCTCAGTGGATTAAAGCATCCCTAAATGAGTTTGTATTACCCCTGCCTATGAAAAGCAAATTTAAAAAATTACTGAAAAGGGAGAACAAGTATATTGGAGTAAACACATCTGACATCTTGACACTTTGACACTCTGCAGACTGTTACTTCTCTACTCCATTCAAACTCCACTGAAAAAAATTAGCATCTCTAGGCAAAACTAACTGAATACCATATATACCTAATACACAACAAAGCACCACACACTCCTAAAATGCCTCAAATGTAAAACACATCCTTTAAAGAAGTATTTAATTATTTTAAAATAATTATCAATCTAAAAATTAAGTTTAGAAAAAAGTATCAATTTTAGAATTAAAAGTTCATTTTGGAATAAACTGTGAGGAAATTATTTTCCTGAGACACAAAATTTCAACTTAATTTTTAAGAAATTTTTCTATTTCTAAAAATAAAACTGATAGAAAAAATAGATATATTTAAAAAGTGCATAGTTCATCTGGCTGAACATTCTAATTGTATACTTATTTAATCACTTAGCATGTGTAGTCAGGTATAAAATTCTTTTCTCCAAATTGTTCAATGAATAACTGTATCTCAATGAATTTTAAGGCAGCTTTAAGTTATAACTAAGACAATATTATTGATCAATGATACAAGATAAGAAATAAAATGTTATTAAACAATAGAAATATTTACCCAACAGGTTAATAATTCCTTCATTGTATGCTGCAAACAGTCTAATGGCATCTTTGAACAGGAGCATGAAGGCAGCATTTATTACCCCATTTGTAAGTTCATTGCTATTAACCTGGGGAAAAAAAATAGAAAGATTAGCTAATGTTCTGGTCTAAAATGACAGTGACTTCCTTCAAAGTAAGATACAATGAATTCAAACACTTAGGTGTAGGACAGAAAAAGACATTTATCTCTAGTCATCAGTCACAGCCATACAGTGCAAAAATATTGATTGAAGAGTCCAGATTTATTTAAAAGCCACAAACACAAACCTGACAACACTGAATTTAGTTCAGAAATAAGTCAGTGAAAACAAAAGTACTTTGAAATTCTTAGGCTACATCTCAAAAGTATTTTAAGTTCATTTCAACATTAATTACTTCCAGTTACAAAATAAAGCCCCTTTCTTAGTAAAGTTCACTTTCAGTCATGAAGAGTTTATTGAATGTTTCTAAATAAAAAAATATTTATTAAATGGCTACTATAATAACCAAAGTACTGAGTTAAGCTAGGTAGAAAATATTTTTTTTTAAAAGAAATAATTTTCCCAATATTACAAACAAATTCACCTTCAAAATGGGTATAATATTTCTACCTCATATAGTTACAGGAGAATTAACTGACATACTGGTGTAAAGAGTCTCCTGCAGTATTTTACACATAAATGATCAATATTTATTTTTTCTTAAACTTTTTATTTTGTATTGGGGTATAGCTGATTAACAATGTTGTGCTTGTTTCAAGTGAAAAGAGAAGGGACTCACCCATATATATACATGTATCCAATGATCAATATTATTATTATTAGTGACTCATGTTTTAATTAAAAAAAAAAAGCAGTTGTCCACCAAGATATATGAGAAATTACCTTTAGCTTTATCACAAGAAAATAATCAAAAGGTTATGTTCCTTTTTAGATAACTGTGGTGGTGGTGGTTCAGTTGCTAAGTTGTGTTAGACTCTTATGACCCCACAGACTCTAGCCTGCCAGGCTCCTCAGTCCATAGGATTTCCCAGGCAAGAATACTAGACTGGGTTGCCATCTAGATATCTAAGTACATGATAATTAACGTGTTAGGTACAGAAAAATATAAGCTGAATGGTAAGCAACAATTTGGTAAATATTTTCAGAATATCCGACAAGATCGATCTGCATTATAGAAAGAATTCTATAAGACAATTCACAAAATAAAAAATACATATAGCTAATAATGTGAAAAGAAGTTCAACTTCACTGATACGCAAATTAAAAGAATCGAATTAAATTACTGAACTATCCTCTCTTGAGTACCAGACTAGTAGGTATCAAAGTAGTCAAAACCAAGGTATTATTCTACACCAATAAGAACGGAGAAAACAGGTGCCTATTGACTAGTGACTGGCTCAACCCTTTCGGAATATAATTTGGCAATATTTATTAAAAACTTAAATGTTTATGGCCTTTGACTATCTAATTCTTTGTCTAGGGCATTAGTTCTATAAAATAGGCCTATAAATGTATAGATACACTATTATCTAACACACACATGGAGTATCTAGTATTCCTCCCTTCTGTTTTTTGTCCCCATTTATTTTCTGAATTAAAAAACCAAATGCCCTCAACATTTATCAACAAGTAAAGTGTCAGTTGCTCAGTCACGTCCGACTCTTTGCAACCCCATGGACTGTAGCCCACCACACCCCTCTGCCCGTGGGATTTTCCAGGCAGGAACCCTGGAGTGGACGGCCAGTTCCTTCTCCAGCGGATTCCCCAGCCCAGGGACTAAGCCAGGTCTCCCGCACTGCAGGCAGGCTCCTCACTGTCCGAGCCACCTGGGAAGCACAAGAGACGCTGAAGAGAGCGCGCAGTTTCATCAGGATGCCCACAGTCAGTAAGTGCGGAAAGCTCACGGTTGGACATTTTCTCTATGAAAATCAAAATACAGTTCAGCAGTTACACTAATCCCGTCTCCTAGACTAGGAGCCAGCAAACTAGGGGTGTGACTCAGTATTTCAGACTGTGCAGGCCATATGATCTGTCACAACGACTTGGCCCCATTATTACACCAAAAAAGCAGCCACAGACTACATGTAACCAATGAGCCTGTTCTCAAAACACTACTGTGGACACTGAAATACAAATTTCATATACTTAAAAAATTCTTTTATTACTAGCAACCATTCAAAAATGTAAAAAATTCCCTTTTATTATTTGCAACCATTTAAAAATGTTCTCAGGTCACAAGCCACATAGAACAGCAGCTTGAGCACCTGTTCTAGTCTATAAAGTACCTATGGGATGCATTTACTCAATGTTTATTGAACACTATCTATGTGCCACACAGTACTGACAACAGGGACATAGCAGGGAAAAGCAGAGCTAGCTGGTCCCTGGCCTCCAGAAGGTAAAGATTACCAAGTAACAGCACAGCAATAGAGGAAAATCAATTTCAGCATTAAACTGTCAGTTTTGATCACTAACTTACACTTACAAGGTCTAAAATAAAATATCTTAAGCTAGATGCACCAAAAAGGAAGACTTGAAAATGCTAACACCCAACATACTACAAACAAGTAACAAAGCTGGAAACTCGGTTCAAGTAGCAGTCATTAAAACAAAAGTTCCAGGGAACACAGAGTCCTTGGGCAATAGCTATACAACACACTGTTACAAGTATATTTGAACTTCCCTTTATTTCTTAGTAACTGTCATGCTTTGAGTTCTGCAAAGCAGACAAAAAGTGAAATCTTAAGACAGCCAGTCATAAGGAAAATATTTGTACATTTTTAACATCTAAAAACCATTATTAAAAAAAAAGCAGATTTTCACATCAATCTCTTCACCTCTCCATTACTTTCTTCAGCTTTTATACCCTATGATATAGCGGGGATTATGGAAGCACCACCAAAGAAATCAGAGTAAATCTTAAGCAATTATTAAAATAGAAAGTAATCTGATTTGGGACCACATTTATAGAAAATCCTTAGCCATATAGGATAATAGTGTGAAAAAATTAGTCTATGACAACTTGAGATAAAAAAATCTAATTAAAATGATGCAATTTTTAAAATATCAAATTACAATAGCATTTATGTAATCAACTTACATTAAAATCAAGAAGGGCATCCATTTGATTCTGAATAATTGGTACAGTTTTTAGGAGTTTTTCTGTGTTCATGGTTCTCATAACTCCATCAGCCCTGTTTAAAGAAAAAAACAATTGAGTTTGTTATTTAATCTATGTTTCAAACTCCCATCTGGTTCTTTAAACAGAGGACAAGTTGTTATGAAACATCACATGTTTTTATGTCATTTTTGAACCTGAAACCTCAAGTAGAAATCGTATAGAAAAACAAAAACAGGAAATACCATATGTCCAATATCAAGGTGCTCATTTCAAACTAAAAAGATGTAAAACATGAGCATAAAAATAAAAGCTTACAATATATAACCAGGTTTATACTATACTTTTCACATGAGAAAATCATCTGATGCTCACACTGCTCATGCATCTAAAGGGCATTTCCCTCAAATCACTAAATAGGGCAAAATGGAGTAGGAAGTCTGGGTGAGTACCACTTTATTTAAAGTAGTTTATTTGTGATGTAAATCAAAATTATTTTAGGGATTCCTTGGTGGTCCAATAGTTAAGAATCCTCCTTGTAATGCAGGGAACACTGACTGGTTCCCTGGTCTGGGAGGATCCCACAGGCCGCTGGGCACTAAGCCCCGTGCCACAACTGCTGAGCTTGGACTCTGGAGCTTGCAAGCTGCAACTACTGAGCCCACGTGCCACAACTACTAAAGCCTCGGGCCCTGCAGCCAGGCTCCTCAACAGGAGAGGCCACCGCAACGAGAGGCCTGTGCCCCACAGTGAGAGCAGCCTCTGCTTCCACAGCTAGAGAGACCTGCGCCCAGCAACAAAGGCCCAGCATAGCCATAAATAAATACAACATGAAGTTATATACTCAAATACATACAATTTAAAAAATTATTTTTTTTACAATATAAAGGACAGTTTTACCAAGTCATTCTAATCGGGACATTAAAATAAGTGATACTTAGAGAAACGGTTTTAATAAAATGTTGTTAAATATTTCCAAAAAGACTTCTTTACCTATTTCTTTAGATACTTCTAAAGAAAGATAAATACCAGCAGTACCAAATAAATTAGAATTTTACAAAACTGACACCAAAAACACTAGATAAGAGGTAATAGAGTTAACACACACAACTAACACCAATATGTTTATTATAGACCAAGCTTCTGTATTAAGGGCTTGGTGTATGTATGTTTTTCAAGTTCTCAGAAAAATCCTGCAGGTGGTCTTGTCCCATTTTATAGACAATGAAATTTCAGGTTCATTGAGGTTATGAGAGTATCTAAGGTCAGAAAGCAATTGATTTTAGGGTCAGTGTGTAAACCCAAGTGTACAAGACACTAAAGCAGAGCTTTTCATAAACTTCTGGTAGAGGAACAAGGCCCTTTTCAAAAAAATGTATAGATGTTCCCTAACTTACAAATGATCCATACTTAGAAACAGCTGTTCTACCCTAAGCTATCCCTTAAAACACAACTCCAGATACCAGAAAAACCATTAAGCTATGAAAAGCAAAAACAGTGCTTTGCAGGACAAGAGTTTAAAGAACAAACACTGGCCTGCCTTATGTAGGCAGCTGTTAATCAGTTTTAGTCCAATAACCCTCCCAAATAAGATGTGTTAACTCACACATACCCATATCCTCCCTGACTGGTACCAGTTTCAGGAGTTCGGGATGAGGACATCACCCCCTCTTTGCAGCCCTTTCTTTATCCCCACTCACATCACACTCCTGTTTCATCAGTCACTGTTGGTCCCTTTAGTTCTCCCTCCCTCTCCCTTGCTAAGTAATTTTTTGACCTTCTGGTCACTTCCCCTGTATCACAAAAGACTTCAACAACAGTTCAGTTTTTCTCAGTTAATTTCAACATTTTACATGCAGAATCAATCCAAAATCTTGATCTCAAAGCCCCTTAACCACATCCCCTATTCTCACAGTCACATCCTCACCTTACCATCTGCCAAGAAACCACATTATCCCTAGCCCCCACTACCACTCCCTCACCCTCAATGTAAGAAAAAGCCAAGATTCAGACACCTCATCCTGACAGTCACCTTTTAACTTTCTAGCTACCTTGGTCAAGTGTCCCACAACAAAAACTATTTGACTTCATCATAAACTTCAACGTATTAACCCTACCACTACCCACACATTGATCCCTTCTAGTTTTTCCTTCTTTCATCTAGCTCATAATTCCAAAGATAAGTATTATAATCATGCCTTTGCAAATACCCTTAACTCTCTTGCACCTCTCATTCCCTCGCAGTTACCTGGCAAATTCACAATTTTGATTCATTATTCAACTCACTCCAGTGTAAACTCCACTTTTACCTTTATGTTGCCTCTCCAGTGAATACCAGTCCAACATTACTTGACTAGACTTCTCAGCAGCATTCAAACTTTTTCCTCCTTCTTGTAATTCTCTACTCTCTCAGCATCCCCGATAGCCATCACTCCTTGTCTTCTTCCTACCACACCATTACTTTTTCAGTCTCTTTCCTCATCTCCTCACCCTCTACTCATTCTCTAAAATAAATGCTGAGTATCTCAAGATGTTTCTGGGCCCTCCCCTCTCATTCTACACTTATTCCCTAGGATACTGTCATTCCCCTGGCAGCAATTACCAAACTGCCACTTATACACCCAGACCAGAACTCTCAAAGGTCCTGGTTAGTACTGTCAAATTGCCTAGGTGATATCTTAACTTATAAAAAAATAACAGACATCTAAAAACTAGTATTTCCAAAATTAAATTCTTAATTTTTAACCACTACCCTATGTTGCTTCCAAAAACCTTCCCAGTAAAAGGTGCCATCTCCCCAAAGGTTTAGGCCAGAAACAATGGGAACATTTTTTATTCTTCTCTCTCTCACTAGCCTCCACATCATTTCTTCCCAGAGAACTTTAAATTTCTCAATTAAGAAAAATCCGAACAGTTATCACATGCTTACATCAGCAACTGACTTCAAAAAACTCAGTTCACAAACCCAAATGCCTGAAATATGATTCAAACCAAATGCATGACAATTCATACTCCATGCAGAACACAAGTATTTATTATTACTTCTATAATCAAGTGTAATTAAATTCAGATACTTGCTTCCCAAATATAAGAGCAATGAATTAAAGGCTGATCATCCATACTCTTACTCACAGACAATACCTGGATTATTCTTTCTTTTGCTAGTTACGTAATAATGTCTTACCACTTCAAACTGTACCAATTTAGAATTCAAGGTAATTCTACATGGCAAGTTAACACTATCAAAAAAAATGGAATGCTAAACGAAAAGAAAATGAAGGGACCAATGTTTAACACAACCAACTAAAAAAGATGTATCAACAGGCAATTTATTGGATCCATTTTTCATGGAACCATTTAATCTACTGTTTAGAAACTCATCTAATCATCTTTTCAAAAACTATTAAGCATCTACTATGTTTAAACACTATGGAAAGTCCTGAAAATCTGAGTCTATACTGTCTTCATGGATAAGACAATATCATTAAAAATCTAACAGAAAAAAAGGCTTCCTCAAAAAAATGTTTGAGTGAATTCTTGAAGAATGACTAAGAATTTGCCAGAATAACAAAAAAGGGGCTGGATACAGTAAGTGTATTTAAGTGAAAAGTCATTTAACCAAGTGCGTGCATGCTAAGTCGCTTCAGCAGCATCCACTCTGTGTGGCCCTATGGGTTACGGCACACCAGGCTTCTCTGTTCACGGGACACACCAGTCAAGAATCCTGGGGTGGACTGCCATGTCCTTCTCCAGGGGGTGTTCCTGAGCCAGGGATTGAAGCCACATCTCTTATGTCTCTTGCACTGGCAGGTGGGTTCTTTATCACTAGCGCCACTTGGGAAGCCCGTTTAACCATACAGTGTAATGATTCATTTTGATTTTTGAATATCTCATATTTCTATTAAAAAATTATAGTTAATCTCCATCTCACTTTTTAAATATCAAGATATATTCTAAACGAACCTAAGATTTAAATAAAAATACTGAATTCATAAAAATATCCATGAAAACATAGTTAATTGATCACTCTGAGGTAGAAAACCCCACTCCAAGTTTGCTTAAAAGATAGTAGCCATAAAAATAAAGATAACAATTTTTATCACATAGATTTTTTTAAAGTTTTAATAAATGCTAAAAAAAAGGGGGGGCAGTATTTATAACCTGTGACAATTTATTTTCCCAATAAATCCAAAAGCTTGTTAGTTTGCCATGTGCTAGTAAGCATTATATACAATAAATCACTTAATTCTCACAAAAATCCTAATAGATAAATGCTATTAACATCACCATTCTACAGATGAAAAGATTTTACAGAACTTCGCAGTGGTGCAGGGGACATGGGTTCAATCCCTGGTCTGGGAAGATCCCACAGGCTATGGAGCAATGAAGCCCGGGTACCACAACTACCAAGCCTGCGTGCTACAGCTAATGCAGCCCATGCACCCCAGGGCCCAAGAGCCACAACCCCTGAGTACACGTGCTGCAACTACTGAAGCCCACACACCCAGAGCTTGTGCTCCACAAGAGACACCACTGCAATGAGAAGCCGCACCGCAACCAAGAATAGCCCCACTCATTGCAAGCAGAGAAGGCCACGCACAGCAACGAAGACCCAGTTAAACCAAAAATAAAAACAAATTTTTAAAAAATTCACAGATGAAATAACTTGAAGCTTAAGTCAACGCTCTCCAACCGTGCCACACCACACTACTGTGGTACAAATGGGCCATACGTGTGCCAACATATTAACCCCAAACCGTTCAGTCTCATGGAGTCCTTTCCACGTAACGCACTGTCCTGTAAAACCAGCATCAGTTTCTGCAGCACGATGTGCAAAAAGTTAGCCAATTGATGGATATGTAATAAATGATATTTTTTCTTAGGAAACAGGCACTGAAATGTTAAGAGCTATAAACTGTAAAAAGGCATGATGCAAAAAGTTAGCCAATTGATGGATATGTAATAAAAGAGATTTTTTTCTTAGGAAATAGGCACTGAAATGTTAAGAGCTATAAACTGTAAAAAGGCATGATGTATATATAATCCACTCTCAAATGGATCAAACAAAAAAGGAAACAAACACACATACACAAAGAATAATTAAATGTTAAAAACTGATGAATCTCAGTGAAGTGTATAGGAGTTATCTGTATTGCTTCTGCAGCATTTCAGGAAGTGGATTATTTCAAAATAAAATTACTTTTTAAAAGTTAGCAAGCTGGCTGAAGTATCTTACTAAAATCCCTCATCTAATTGGAGTGAAGCTCGAAATCAAACCTAAATTTATCTGACTAAACTGCCAGTGAGCTTTTAAGACAAGAATTTTAAAAGTCCAATAGAGAAATGGGCAAAGGATCCTGAAAAGCAATTAACAAAGCAAGAGTGGTATTTTTACAAAGAGAGAATGAGGCTCAATATCACATTTAAAAGTTAGTCAATCAATTAACATAAATACCTAATGAGATACATTTTCATGATGATGGAAGAATACATTGAAAGAGGTATTTATAATTGTATTTAACTCAATAACTTGGTAACACTTTTATACAGGGCAATTTGGTGTTTTCTATTAAAATGGTACATGTATATATATATTGTTTGACTTGTCAATTCTAAGAATTTATTCTACAGGAAATTTCACTTACAAATGCAACCATAGGGACCTCCACAGTGATTCAGTGGTTAAGACTCCGTGCTTCAACTGTAGGGTGCACGGGTTCAACCCCTGGTTGGGGAACTAAGATCCCACATGCCAAGTAGTGTGATCAAAAATAAATTAAAAAAAAAAAGAATGCAAGCATACGTAAAAGAACAGTCAATGCATTTCTTTTACAAGATTTAAAGAAAGGAAATAAATCAAAGGTACATCTAGAACACAATTCTAAAGCCATTCAAAAGAAAGAGCTGGATCTATGTGCACAGATATTGAGAATATTTAAAATATCTATTAGGGGAGCGAAGCAGTCTTCAAATAGTGTGATCCAAATATGGGATTTACTATGTGTCTTCATACACCTATTTTTATTTCTATTTTCACAGATTTCACAGAAAACAGATTAGATACACCAAAATATTAACAGTTTAAGTCAGAATTCTATGTTGCCAGAATTAAAAAAAAATAGTTTATTACTTTTATAAACATTCAGAACAGACGAATCCATAGAGATATAAAGTAGACTTGTGACTGTCAGGGTCCAGAGGAAAAGGAAATACATGTTTTGGAATTAGACAGCAGTGATGCTGCACAACTTTGTAAATATACTAAAAACCACTTATTGTACACTTTAAAAGGGTGAATTTTATGTTGTGTGAATTGTCTCAAAGCTGTTAGAAAATTTAGTAAGAACTTCAAAAATCCTGGTGCAAAAGTATCTGATATACTTCTTAAAAAAAACATGAAGTTCATCTTTTAAGACTGGCTTGAAATTCTGTAATTCATAATCAATAATGCCTATTGTTGTTATTCAGTCGCTCAACTGTGTCTGACTCTTTGCGACCCCATGGACTGTGGCACACCAGGCTTCCCTGTCCTTCACCATCTCCTGGAACTTGCTCAAATGATGCCTGCAGTTAACATTTTAAAATATTCAAATCCATTAGATGTCAAAAAAACCCCAAAAAGAATGAAAGAAAGAAAGCTTAACTCACCCTCGTTTCACTTTTGTGAAATCAAATGCAACTTGTCTGTATGAAACTGCTTTTTCATTTAGATACCTACTATACCTCCTAATAAATGTAGACATGTCATATCCTGTAAGAAAAGAAACATAAAAGGATTTCATAAAATATTAAAAAAACCCAATTAGCTTAGAAAACCAACTCATATATCCAATGACCACAATGTCTTGATATTCCACCTTCCATTTAGTGATATGAATTAAGTGACAGTAACATCTATAATACTTTACATTTTTAAAGTTAGGTATGTCATATGTGGCTTAGAAAAATCTTCCGCCTTAGAATTTCACTAAAATAATAATTCTGCTTTATTCTGACAAACATTCCTTTTACTTATCGGGAATTGAAAAACTTGTTTTCTTATACTACTTCATAACCCCATAACTCAAATTTAATATCCTGCAGAACCTAAATCCCACTCCTCAAAATCATTAATCAATTTAATATTTTTCATACTTTTCCATCTTTAGTTACATATGATTTAGAACAACTTACGGGTGCCAACCTTGTAAGTAGCAGAGAAAATTACTACACTGTACAATGAAATAAGCGGCAATATGCAAATTTAAGGCCTAACAAAAAATAATTCTATGACAGCTTTCAATGAAACTTTCTAAGTGAATAGCTAAATCATTCTAAGATTTTGCTTCAACACAATCATGAGATTTGAAGACTTCAGCACCATAAAATCTAATCAGTATTATTAAAAACAAACAATCTTGTGTTTTAGCTGTTGCCTGGCTCAAGGAAGTCTACAAATTTTTGCTCTTTCCCTTGTGGCTCAGTTCGTAAAGAACCTGCCTGCAATGCCAGAGACCTTGGTTCGATCCCTGGGTTGGGAAGATCCCCTGGAGAAGGGAAAGTCTACTCACTCCAATATTCTGGCCTAGAGAATCCCATGGACTGTATAGTTCATGGGATCGCAAAGAGTCGGACACGACTGAGCAACTTTCACTGTAAAAGCAGATCCATCCTACTTTGGTTCATCTTCACCTAACAAATTTAATTTTAGTTGATGGTCTCTGCTACTTTAAAAAGATATAACACCAAAACAAGTGCACACACACACACAAAGTACAGTGACTGGATTTAACATAATCACCAATTCATTTATTCAGCAAATATTTCTTAGTAGCTACTAACTTGCTACTGGAGAAAAATCAGTGAACAGAAAGAAATCACTCCCCTCATATATTCTCATATTGTATAAGGTGTTATATACTAACATTTTTCAGCTCTGTAGTTAATACTGTTCCCTCTAACACAGTCTACTAGATCCTCACTAAGGGGAGAAACATCTCTCATCCTTCAAGGCTCAATCTCTAAAACCTTCCCTGAACTCTCTGTATACCTATATTATTCTTACTTCAAGTACAGCTATTAGATGTACACAGTTATCTCATTCACTGTAAGTTTAATTATAATATGTACAACCAGTATAACAGTATATATAGCCAGTATATACTGAATAAAATATACCAGACTCCACCCAACAAAATACATCAGCAATCAAAATTACAAAAAGATCACTGAATTATAACTTTTATCATTTCAGTCTAACCTTTATAATACCTTTGAATACAAGCTTTAAATAAAAGGCCTATATACTGTACTTTACATAAAAGGAATGAAAGCCTTAAAACCTTCTCACTAGAAGTGCTTAATTTCCATCTCAAGAAAGTAGAAAATCAGTAGTTAATGAGACACAAAAAACCCACTTGGAACATATGCATATATTCTGCTCCAGAGTAGTGGTTTGCATATTGTTTTCCAGACTCTTACAGTTCAAATGAACTAAATAAGGTGGAAAGCAGAAGTAAGATGAGACAGTTTTATCCATGTTCCAGAAAACATAACAGCTCCAGTTTCATCTGTTATATATACAGATAGCTTCTATTGATTTTACTTGAAAAAGGGATTCCATGGCTTCCTTTTTTTCCCCTTAAGTGTTTAAGGCATGATATCTCTCATTAAAGTAAAATCAACCTTGTAACAGCTGGTTCTATGTACAGATTATTGATCTTCCAGAATCTCTGAAAGATTGTGTATTCAATTCTAATTAGTACTTTCTACTGCCAAAAGTAGATAAGTATTTAACAGTTCATAAACACATACACAGCTACTCACTGAATTTTACTGCTTTTCATCTCCACAGAAGCCACAATTCAGGCCCTCATTAACTCTCTACTAGATGATCAAAATAATGACCAGAGTAGTCTCAAGTCCTCAAGATGTTACTCACTCAAATACAACAGGCTAGAGTGGTTTTTTAAATAAGACACATTCCCTCTCTCCTCCTCCCTCAAATCAAAAAACTTGGATGGTTTCTCACTGCATTATGAAATCCCAACTATATCAAAATCCTTTGTGCATGATTTTGGCCCCAAACAGCTTCCCAAGGGTTATCTTCCACTGCATATTCTCCAACACCTCATCTTACATTCCATTCATATTCATTTGCCCTATAAACAAACACCCATGCTCTTCATCATCCACATACATCTGTGTACCTTTGCTTAAGTCAGCTCACGTCCTCATCCATCTTTCAAAGCACAGCACAAATCTTACCTTTTCTAAAGATATTTCCCAGCTGAAACTTACTATTGAGTACTCCTTTAGTATGGTCTTAGTATGTCCTTTATGAGGCTCTTCCTAGAGTTATTCTATAATGCTAACAGTCTAGCTCTGGCTAAGTGTAACAGATCCCGTTAAGACAGTATGTACATGGAGGGCTACAATACTAGATTACAACAATTTCAAGTTACTGAATTAAAGTAAAATAAATAAAATACCTGGTTAAGTATTAATAAGTAATTCATCTGAAAAACATATTATACTTACCTTTGCTACTAAAATGTATGATATTCTCAACATTTCTTAGAATAAAGTATAAAATAATAACAAAAACAACAATGAAAGCAGATATGTAAGAGTTACATTCTACATTTACAGATATGTAAAGTTATATTCTAACTTTACATTTTTAAAGTTAGGTATGTCATATGTAGCTTAGAAAAATTTTCCCCTTAGAATTTCACTAAAATAATAATCTTGTTTTATTCTACCAACATTCCTTTTATTTACTGGGAACTGAAAAACTTGTTTTCTTATACTACTTGATAACCCCAAACTCAACTTTAACATCCTGTGGAACCAAAATGCCACTCCTCAAATCATTAATCAATTTAATATTTTTCATATTTATCAATCTTAAGTTGTATATGATTTAGAACAACTAAAACAGAATGTAAGTAGTATTTCCTATGTGCCAGGCATCATTCTAGGCACTTTACATGTATAACTAGGTTGTGTCTCATGATAATCCTACAAGTGGGTACTATCATTACTCCTGATTTTAAAGATGTAGAGAGGTAAAGTAATTTGCTCAAGTTTATGCAGTTGGTGTTAGAGACAGGATTCTAATCCAGGCAGTCCACTTCCAGAACCCATGCTCTTAAACTACCACTTTATACTGCTTCTCAAAGAGCTCTGGGTGGCAAGAAGTGAAGTCAATCAATCTTCATATGAAAAGAGTTTTTTTCTTCTCTACAGCCTTCACTAAGACATGAGGCTCCTCCACAGCATATGTTCTAAAGAACAGAGTTCAACTCTGCAGTAATCCTCAAATGGGGTCACTCTTGGTTTTTCTGTAATGAATAAGGCGTCTTTACCTTGCAATCCACTTTTATCCAAAAAATTGCTTAAGTTAAACAACGTGTTTCTTGAAGCCAAATACTGAATGAAACGCTGGAGGGAGAAAAAGACAACAAATAATTATGTCAAATAGTACTGCCATCTAAGAAACTTTGAGAATTAGGGGGGAAAGTGGTGGTTAACACATTAAAAAGTTAAAATTTATCATCTTCAATCCTCCTAAAAACATAAAACATATTTTTCACTAGCATGCAGGAATTTATTAAAGTCTAATGCCCACAGCTATGGTGTTAAAGTTAAAAGCAAACAGGCACTTTTAACTAGAAGCACTTTACTAAAGCATATTATGGCTACAGCTAATCATACTCAGATGGTGCCTTTATTTTAAAACAGATACCTAGTGATCCAAATTTTTATTACTTTTTTAAAAAACAGAACATTAGTAATCATATTGGAGTATAATAGAACAGATATCCTCTTATCCACAGTCCAGATTAAAGATCATCACTTTAGATTCCCTTACAGAATGGAATTACATACTACTAAAGACACACGTCTTCAATACCATTCCCTTCTCTTCCTCCCTCTGCAGAGGCAATCACTTTTCTGAAGTAGGTTTTTATCATTCCCATGAATGTTTTTTAAAATTTTACTACATATATAAGGATCTAAAAACAGTACATAATTTTGTCTTCTATTTTAAATTTACAGAAATTCTACACTGTACTTCTTTTCCAATGTGTTTTTTAATGTTCTTCCCAAGAATTATCCATTTAATATATGTACATCTAGTTCACTCATTTTCAACAATGTTTGAGTATTTCAACAAACTATTACATCCATTATATATCCGTTTCTACATGGATATTTAAGTTCTTTCCAATTTTACTATTATTAACAATGTCTCACTGATGTCTTTGTACTGGTCTCCACCTGCAGGCATGCAAGGGTTTCTCATGATATATACTTAGGGTTGAACTGTTAGCTCAGCATGGGTATAAAAATTCATCATCTCAAAATACTGTCAAACCCCTCTCCAAAATGCTTACCACAGAACACTACCTTAATATCCTTTTACACACAACTTCTAAAAACAGCTAAAGAAACTCTTTTCAATTTTGTAGGACAAATTTTAAAAGGATTACTTTTGTAAATGTATGCAGAGGACTACTATCAATTTTATGTACATAATCACTTCTCTGACTCAATAGTGTTCATCAGAGATCACCACAAACTAACAAACCATGATTCTGAAAAACAATTTGTAAATCAAAGACTCCTGTTTTATCATTTATCCTAAAATAACTTGTTTCAAAACGCATTAAAATGTCCTAAGGGAAAAAATAAATCCTAAGGCAATATAACACTCTATGATTTTCATAAGTCTCGATGATTCCTTCTTGTGAGGGGCTGTCCTGTGCACTTTTCAGATGTTCAGCACGCCAGCAGCCTCTGCCTACTGCACGCAGTAGCATCCCCTCCAGTTATGCCAATGTCCTTGAGGGTGAAAATCACTCACCTGCCTTGCCCTACTTTAGAACAACTGTTCTAGAGAATCTCCATTACCACAGCATAGGGAAACTCCATGCATACTCTGACAGACCAGTAATGCCTGCCAACGCAAAAACTTCAGGCTTGTACAAACTAGCACACAAAAAAGAGCGGGGCGCCAAATTTCTATCGGCTGCTGAAGGGAAGCAGTTCATCTGAAGACTACTGAAACGCTACCTTTCTCTTCCTGTCAGTCAGTTGTAAGGAATGACAGTCAACTTTCTACTTGCTTGCCTTTTAAAGAGGCTGTGCTTCTGGTATCAGCACCCTCGGGGCCTCCCAGGTGGCTCAGCGATAAAGAACCCGCCTGCCAACGCAGGAGACCCAGGAGATGCGGGTTTAATCCCTGGGTCAGAAAGACCTTTGGAGCAGGAAATGGCAACCTACTCCAGGACTTTCCTGGAAAATTCCATGGATAGAGGAGACTGGCAAGGCTACAAGTCCATGGGGTCACAAAGTTGCACACGACTGAGCACTGGGCAAATTATTACCTTATTCACCTCTGAAAGTCACCACTGAATGTCTGCCTCTTTAACTGGCATTGCAGTTGATTATATTTGTGGCTTTTTCTTCCTAAAGAATAAACTACATAGTTTATTCTTTAAGGCAAAAAATACATACAAGCCTGAAATTCTTCTGAATAGATGATCATGATCTTAGGTAAATACATCCCTAATAAAAGTAGAAACTATTATTCTAGTTAAGATGAAAATGTTTTAGGTTACACTGAAGCTAGTATATCCAAATTTTTCTACTGACTCTGTATACTGCTAATAATGAATTAGAAAGCAACTGAGTAACATGTCCTAAAAATGGGTTACATGTGTTACCTAAGTAATCATACTTCAGGTAGCACTCCTGAAAATAATTTTTAAAACTTAAAAACTACAAATATAATAAAAAAAGTCCCTCCTCATCTCAATGGGAACTATCTCCTAGCAATCAGTGGTCTGCATTTTTCTAAGGCACATACCAAGGTCCTAGATTTATCTAATTCCATTCAAACTTTCTTTAAACACAGTTTTAAATATTCCTTTTGACACAATTTTACAAATAAGCATACCAGGCTGAGAAAATCAAGAACTCAAAAATTAGCTATTGGGCTATCATGGAAAACAAGATGATTCTCTCCAGACATTAAATTGCAAAGGTTTATGCATCTTATTCGTTACCCTTTTTGGGTAACAAAGACTTTAGACACAACTCTGCTGAAGAAGGTATTCTTCAATCAGTCCCTCTCAGCAAAATGCCATCTTAGTTGTTAATATCACAGCCTTGAACTAGGCAAAGGGCTTCTACAGACAAGTATATGAGATCAGACAGAAATCTGACTGGGCTGTAATGAAAAACCAAATGAATAAAGACAAACATATAACCTATACACAGAGGCCAGCAAAAACCAGAGGTGCTTATGGAACCCATCTCCAAGAATTAATCTCTGCTTCTTGAGCCCATTACTGAAAGTCCCCTATGCTCTGACCCACTTTGCTTTCTGACTTAAAAGGCAGGGGAAAAAGTGTAGGGTCTACAATTCTATTTCTGCATAAGCACCTTGCCCTTTTGACCTACATTATTCAGTTGCTATAGGCATTTCTGAGGTGTCAGTGGGAGAAGCAACCTGAACCAGTCAACACCCCCAGGACACTTGTTAAGCAAAAAAACTGCTTACCTCATTTCCATACACCATCAAATGATGAGTTGTAATGAGAGATTTGAAGACCACCACCCAACTACTGTTAGTAGTTCTTTCAAATAAACTGTCTGCTAACTGCGGGATGTTCACATTCATCTCATTTGTGCACTGAATTAAGTCTGCAATAAAAAAAAAAGATTAATTTACTCTGCTTTATTTTTAATGCTAGGTCTGCATACTAATGGAGTAAAGATTTAACAAGAGTGGAACAAAAATGGATAGTTTGGAAAAGTTTTAAAAATCCTCTCAATAGAACCACTGAGACAGAACTTCTATCTGAGAATTAAACAGGGCATTGATTCAGTTCAGTTCAGTCACTCAGTCTGACTCTGCGACCCCATGAACTGCAGCATGCCAGGCCTCCCTGTCCATCACCAACTCCCAGAATCCACCCAAAGCCATGTCCATCGAGTCAGTGATGCCATCCAACCATCTCATCCTGTCATCCCCTTCTCCTCCTGCCCTCAATCTTTCCCAGCATCAGGGTCTTTTCCAATAAGTCAGCTCTTTGCATCAGGTGGCCAAAGTATTGGAGCTTCAGCTTCAAAACCAGTCCTTCCAATGAACACCCAGGATTTCCTTTATCACATAATTAATCAATAATATCAGAAAGTAAATCAAACTTCCTTCACCTTGAAGTACATTTTATTTATCTCAAAAGGAACTGCTTCAGGCCCTTGAGTAACTTTCAGTTCTCTTACTTTTCATAAAACTGTAGAATTACAGTACTAATAATATTCATCCCTATACTCTAAAAATTCATACATATAGAAACAGACACAAGCTGAAAGTCAAACACCTTTTATTACACCTTTATTAAAATCCTCCCTAGAATGCTGCGCTTGTACTAATAGAGCAGATTTGTGGTGTGTGAATGAACAGGATTCTCAGTTTGTTTATTCAAAACAATTCTCATTCTTTCTCCCTTCACTTCTGAGTTAACTCAGTTTTCACTTGACAGCAACTAGCTAATATTGACAGACAAAACTGAAAATGGGCTGAAAGTTTCTCAGTGCAATAAATTTCCAAAGAACTAATCCAGGAACTCTCCTCAATTATTACTCTGGAAACAGGTAAAACAATGCAAGTTCTAACTTTATATTTTAAAATATAAATAACTGGAAAGTATTACCATAAAATAGTCTAATCTACAATTGTTGTAGCACCAAAACTGAAAGAAAAAGTTAATATACCTCTCAGAATTTCACCTCCTATCTGCTTCACAGATATTATTGGCAAATTCAAAGAAAAAAATACAAAATATGATCCAATTTAGACATGTAATGAAGAAGATCAAGAAATGAGTTATTTTAAAAGTATGCATAAAACAAACTATAATAAGTACCTCAGTTATAAGTACCATTAAGGGGGAAAATGAGTTATTTGTGACTCATTAAAAGTTTGTCCACTTTTCACCTTTAGTACCTAATGATTAAATATGAACTCAAGTGATCTAACTTGACTGTGACTGCTAAAAAGAAACAATGCAACTATGACCATTTATCTGCTTATAATCTTTCAAAAATGTTTGTTCTAATAGGGCCAATTTCTGTACAAAGTAACATTTGATAAGCAAATGCATTTTAGATAAGCAGTTACCCTGGCCAACAATGCCTGAACAACAAAGCACAAAACAGTCAAAGAGAATGTCCATGGAACACAGGCTTTCACAATTGAGACTACTTGCAACAAAAATTGAGTAGCTCATTCAACTTGGTTTGTAGGGCTCAGCTTCTGATATTTTAAATTTGATCTCTGCCTTCTTGAATAGTACTTTATACCTGCCCTAAGGCACCAAATATATTGTACTTGCCTTATTCCAAAGATAAACTTTGTCTCTCTCAAAATATAATTTACTGGGAGCAGTTTGAGTTCTGCTCATTTTGAATCCTTTAAAATGTCAAGCACAGTGATCAAGTTTTGATTTTAATTATATGAAGTTATATTCCTAGCTTCCTGTTTTCCCATGGATTTATTCTTATGTATCTGTATTTTTTCTTTATCCTTCCAGAAATTATCTTTGTAAGTTGCTCATTTCTTTAACAGTTATTTCTCACAATGATGTCAATAATCATTTTACTCCTCTTACTTCCCAAAAGTGAACCTGTCACAAAATTTTTTGTCACAATACTTGCCCAAGGGCACTTCTACATGTCTGTATGTGTTTGCACACCCACCCACATGTGTTTGTGAACACTCCCTAGAGCCCATCAAGAACCAAGTCTCTTAAACTTGTAGATATTCCACTTTCTCTCCACCCCACTATCCCTGACAAAGCAGGAATGAAGATCCTATGTTTCCCTAACTAGAAGTCAACCAGTCCTGGGAGTATTTAGAAGTTGGGGGGAGGGATTATCACACTCTCTGAAGGGCTTTACTGGCATTTGACAACAAAGATGAGGGAGGGAGACTGTCATGCAATGCACAACTGACACTCCGCAATTAAAAGCTGCCCCGCCCCGCTCAGTGGTAAAGAATCCACCTGCAGGAGACACGGGTTCAACCCCGATCCAGGAAAAACCCCACACGCCACAGGGCAACACGGCTCTCTGCACACCTACTGGGCCTGTGCTCTAGAGCCCGGAGCCGCAACCACTGAGGCCCGCGCGCCTGGAGCCCACGCCTCACAGCAAGAGACGCCACCGCGGTGAGCTCATGCACCTCAGCCAGAGAGCAGCCCCCACGTCAACAAAGACCGAGCACTGCCAAAAATAAACAAACATCACAAAAAAAAAGTTGCTCCACCCAAAACCGTCCCCACTAAGAAAATGCTGGACTAACTGGTCTCTTCACTTCTAATGAGATCTCATTTGGGGTCTCACCCACCCAACATGCTCAAATAAAAACTGGCCATGACACTGACTAACCTCAATGATCTCCCAACTGCACACAGGATTGGCATACATTTCATCTTTGTCAACATCCTCCTTGTTGAACCTTAACTTCCAAGACGGGCTTCCCTGGTGGCTCAGATGGTAATCTGCCTGCAATGTAGGTGACCTGGGTTTAATCCTTGGGTCCTGCAGATCCCCTAGAGAAGGGAACGGCTACCCACTCCAGTATTCCTGCCTGGAAGATCCAATGGACAGAGGAGTCTGGAGGGCTACAGTCCTTGGGGTCACAAAGAGTCGGACACGACTGACCGACTCTCTCTCTCTCACACACATACACACTGCTGCTTCATACCCAAATCCTTCCACTCTTGTTCATTCCTCAAAATGAATGATGTATTTTCCTTTGTGAAATACTCCTCTCCACAGACTAAGGTACCCACCACACCAACACTAAAGCTGGTACACAATTCTACACTCTCGTCTAGAATCAGTGATTTTAAAAGGAATCTGCAAATACTTTTGTTGGTAATTTTCCATACTCTTATTAATCAGGGAGGTAAGTAAACCGCTGGATTAGTCAGAGACAGCCTGATGCTAAATGAAGCCAAAAGTGTAGTTTTCAGTTTCAATGAGCATGTTACACATTAGATTACATATATTCTATCTATGGTATATTCCCTTTCTGATCAGCTCTCCTCACTTTGCTTCAGTTACACTAATGTCTCCTTTGCAATGCCTCCCACGAGCCAAGCACTCTTAACCTCAGGTGTTCAGTATTTTGTTCCTTCTGCCTAGAATACTCTTTTCCCAGATATCTACCCTTCTCTTACTCCCTGAGTTTATTCCTATAGACCTTTGCTCAAATGTCACCTATCAGATGAACATCTCTAAATATTTATAATACGTAACAAACCCTTAAGGTAAATCCTCTACCTCCAAACCCTCACTATACCCTCTTACTCTGTTTAATTTCTCTACAAAACACTTACCATCTAACTCATTTTAACTTGTTTAATGTCTTTCTCTCCCAATTAAAGTATAAGTTCCATGTAGGGAGGGCTCTATTATGCTCTCTGCTGGATTTCCTAAGAATAGTGCAATGCATACAATGGTCACTCACACTTTTTGAATAAATAACATTTATTTTAGTATGCACTTGAGCAGCCCTAACATGACCATTCAAAATTTATTTTTTACACAAATTACACCAACGATCTACAAGTCTTTGCACAACCTGCAATTCCCAAAAGGTTAAAAACAGACCTGAGCCCATCACATGCAAAAATTCTCAACTTCAAGTTAAAGGGGATCCAACAAATGATGATTTATTGTAATGTTATGAAAACTTTATTTCATGGTATTTAGAAATGACCACGTTAAAATGGAAGGAAAACTCCAGAAACTAAAATGTAACACTTCATATATAACAGAAAAAATAGGATAAGAGTTCATGCATAAATTCCGAGTAGACCAAATACAAAAAAACCAAAGATATACAAACGTTTCTGGGAGAAAATATAACTGCACAGTTACACAAACTCTGCATAACACACTGCCCGTAGTACTTTAACTGAATCAGTCATTTTCTCCAGGGGCAATTTTTCCTCTGAACAATGTTTCTACTATAGTAGTAACTTGAAAATGCTTCTAAGCTTGAGCCCCAACAACTCAGGAAGGAAAATGTTTTCCACACCTCTAATCAACCAAAAGCCAACTGTTTCAAACAAACATCAACATATCATGGCAACCTTGACAGCTACTGCTTTTCTCATTCCCAATTCAGATTTCATTTCTTAAAAAGCACAAACTTGAAAATAAACTTCCTTTACCATCAAAAGGTTTCCAAAGTAGAAACTCATATTTTCATTTAGCTGTTTACCTTGAGAATATAAAAACTGTAAAACCTTATTTAATATTACATTAGTAACAAATCCTAAACGCTACACTCAAAAAAATAACTATATGGCATATAAGCTCTCTGCTTTAAGTACAGGTGAGAATTCATGAGGATTTCTAGGATTTAAGGGCAGAGGAAAACAGGCCTACTATGGAAATGAAGAGCATTCTTCCACACAGAGACAGCAGAAGGAACCAATCTAAACTTTTAAAACAAAATGCTCACTTCTATTATTTAATATGCCTCTTCAACAAACAAGGTCTGGGGTAGATAAAATAAATGTTTACTGCATTAACACAGGTAAGGTACTGACCCAAAGGTAAGGTCACAGGAGCTCACTACTAAATACCAGACTTAGTAACAGAATTAAATTTTTTGTAAAAGGTAA